GTCCACATTATGGAAGGACAACATTTCTTCTCATCTCACCTCACATGTGGGTGTTTGTGGTTGTATGTGTGCACGGAGGAGGAATACTGCTGGACTGTTACAGCCTGCAGATAAGAACAACATCCGTCTGCTTAATCAGAGAATTATTATCATGGCCTCTGTGACGTTCACTCACACGCAAGCTGTGTGTGCGTGTGTGTCTGTCCAAGCACATTGCTGTGTGTGTGTGTGTGTGGGGGTTAGATAGAGCTGTAATTGCACTGGCAGCTTTAGGGCTCCCCAGTGGTGAAAGGGAGGGAGGTGTGTGTGTGTGTGTGTGTGTGTGTGTGTGTGTGTGTGTGTGTGTGTGTGTGTGTGTGTGTGCGCGCACATGTCGAAGAGCGGGGTGGGGTGACAAGGGGCCAATTAATGTAGCACGTCTGTTTTTCTCCTCGGCCTGTGTCTGCATTAGGTTAAAGAGCAGATGAATAGGGGTGAATACAATTGTGTGTGTGCGGGGGGGGATGTACGTTGTCCCCTGACAATAAGTAGTGCATTAGACCAACCTATCTCTGCCCTCATCTTTGGCGTACGTGGACACATACACACACACACACACACTCTTAATAAAATCACAAAGCCTCCATATCATTGCTATCGCAGAAAGATATAAACCCATTAGCTTTTTCCCTTGGGCATGGAGACACACACACACACACACACACACACACAGGCAGACACGCACAGGTTTATCATTACACGCTGTAAAGCTTTTCCAATTGTATTATCCCTCTGATGTCCTCTCTGTTGTCTGTTCCAAAGCCTGGGGTGGAGAGCACAGATAGTTTTGGGTGTGTGGGTGAGATTCAGGGTGAGATACTGAGAGTGTGTGTGTGTGTGTGTTTCAGAGGTGAGGTGAAAGTAGACGGTTGCGCTTTTAACACGTTTTTTAACCTTTTGAAAACCGATGTTTAAGCTTGTCCGTAGAATGCTGAGACAAGTTTCCCTTTGTCCACGTTCAGAATCGCTCAAAGCTCAAAGCTGCGACCGAATGCTCCTGCTTCACGCTGGCGGAGTTGTTCGGAGTTTCACGCGGTTGAATTGCGGTCATGGCCGACTAAATGCAACCGATTCATATAAACGTCGTAAGAAAATGTGAATAGCAGCGAGTGAACAGAGAAACCTTGACCCATCCCACTTCTTTAAACTCCGCTGTCGCTTTAAAAATCGATAAAAGCAGCCTGGCTGGACTTGACGAGACGCCATTTCAGAGCCACTTGCACAGTTGCCGAGTGTGTCTTTTAAATGCATCATCGTCTGGTTTCTGCTGCGACGACGTCGGCTGAAGAAGAAGGCGACGTTCCTCGTGGACGTCATCGATACGTGCCGTCGGTACCTGTTTCTCCACAGCATGATGAGTCATCCACGGCAGAGCTCCATCAGCGGTGGAAACACTATCAAGCCATATCAGTGAGCCACATCATGTTTATTACTATGAACATGGAGCTTCAGTTTGTTTTCAGTCTAGTTTAAAATGTATTTAAAACGCCGCTGCCATAGATATAGCTCTCAAACACCAGATGTGCATTAATTAAAAACTACAGTTTCCCGCAGATTCATTGGATTGCTTTGTCTTTTTTTTAACTGGAAGTAAAGTTTGGCAACAGTTTGACGGTAAGATAGAACATCAGTTTGAAAGAAAAGTAAAGAATAATGTCTTCTTCCTTAACTTATTACAGTTGAGTGAAGCTTATTTAGTTTTAGTTGTCTAGTTTTAACACATTAGCAGTAAAGGTCAATATAGCCTTTGCTGGTGATATGGGAAGTAATGTTTGACATTATCTGCACAGGATGTGATTCTCTCGCCAGCAGTGAGGCTGATGGTCAAAGTCTGTGCATGCAGGTGACAAGTGTTTACATCCAGAAAAGCCTTTTCCACTCCCACTCTAGTGGACCCTAACCCCTGATTTATTTGTGTGCCGTGAAAACATGCTTAACCAGCGGAACATTTCTGCAAGAAAAATCAAGTCAGCTGTTCTGTATGAAGAGCTAAGGTTTTTTTTGGGGGGGGGGGGTTGTATCCTGACCACATCTTTAAATTTTCCCTTTGATTTTTAATTGATTTATTATACTAAACTAAAACAACATTTTGCCAATCTGTAGACATTCATAGAAATATCTACTATATTCACATGAGAGAGGTATAATCTCCTCTTTTCAGTCACCCACAAGAAAATGAGTTTCTGACTTGATACAAAAGAGGCTTTTTACCCCCCCGGTCCTCCCACCTGTCCGCTTTTTCTATTCGCTGCTTTGCGAGCCTTTGTCCCCTCATACTTTTCCCTCTTTCTTTCTCTTTCTCTGCCTCCAAAAGATATTTTTCAGCTAATGACAAAAAAGAGGGGCCATCTTAAATCCAATTACAGATTTCAGCGTGGAGTGCATTTGGATGGATGGAGGGAGGATCTGTCAGCCAGAGTCCATTTTCCTTGATCCCTCATTGGTTTCTACTTTTTGATAGTAATCATTTCATTCGATGATGAAGGTGCGCCACTAGACGCCACAAAGACTAAACGGTTCCAGCAAGAGCCACGTTAAAATGAAGCTGCCTGAACGTCCTTTAATATACAACATTCAGAGCATTACTATACTAGCTGGGTAAGGATGTAGAGGAGTAACGGCTACCTTTGTGTTCCACTGTTGCCTCCAGTTTGCACCATTAGCACCAGTTAGCAGTTTTCTTTCCAATGCCCGGCGATCTCCTGGCGCTGCCTCAGATCGTGATGAACCTATTGGGAGCCCTGCTGTCTGCATGTATGTACATATATTTCCGAGATTCAAACTTTGTAACTGAACAGAGTTACTAAAAGTAGAGAATAACTGCGCAGGCTCTTTTAATTATCCTAAATATGAACTGCTCATGTCAAGTGCTGTGCAGCGACAGAGCATCCGGCGCTCGCTCTGGTGAAGTCGGAGCTGGTGTTTGTGACACGGTGACATGAAGCCGCAGGCAGAACCCCCACGCTGAGAGGAAGAAAGGGAGACAGACACATCTCACAGAGGCAGCGAAGAAAAGTAATGTGATGTTCCCATCGTTTATCCCAGCGGTGGAGCCATGCCAGCGTATTTTTTTTTTCTCCCTCTTCTCCACCTTCTTTCTTACAGCCCCCCACCCCCCCTCCGCCTCTGTAGACATCTTTCTCTGGGGTCCTTTAAACCTTTTGACCTTTTCAGAAATGACAAAACGGTGGCCTTTTATCAGGCAGCGGCTTTCTAAAGAACCCAGAGGTTGTGTTGGCAGATACTTTTCTGTATTTCCCAAGCTGCCGCCTCGTACGGCCACACGCTATTTACACATGCAATGAAGACAATCAGGTGTTGTTTGCAGGAATATAGAACCACTCTTGGTCCTAATTGCATTAGAGTCACACAACTCTCCCCTTCGCACACACCTATGGAGGAAGTGCGATGTAGGGCAGCGGGAAACGGGGAAAAGGCAAACGGCGAGATCTCTCTCTCTCTCTCACCCACACACACATGCTGTTACATCTGTATCCTCCCTATCCTGTCTCCCCCGCAGTCCTCCCCGTTCCACTCCACTGTGATTTGCTGCAGGATTCTCACCCTTCTTCCTCGGCACCCTTGCTACATCCTCCCTCTCTTTTTACAAGTTCGCTTCCTCCCGCTCCATCTCGCTTCCTTTGCACCTCCAGCCTCCATCCCTGCTTCCCCGCCGCCTTTATTCCCTCTCCCACTAATTTGAGAAGTATATTTGAAACTATAACTGCTATTTTTAGATCTTAAAAGTCCTTGAAGTTCCTGTGAAATACAGTGTGGTTGTATTTCGTAAAATGTCTCTCCGCGGTTTATTTTAGTTTTCATTTCCTCCATTTCCACTCTCCTTGTTTCTTTTGAATTGTGCCAGCGCAGTTTGTCCCTCCACTTTAAGAGAGCCATATTGTTGTTATTATCATTGTCTCTAACCGGATCAGTTACCATTAGACCTGAATCTTTCTGCTTCTGAGGCCCGTGGACCGGCTCTCTAACCCAATATAAAACCCATGGGAGCTATTACAGATGGCCGCCCCATTCACAAGGCACGCACACACACACACACACACACACATAGATTTCATTCTGAAGATTCATTGGCCTAATCCTATCACACACTCGTACGGCGACACATGCGCTGACATACACACATGGCGCCTGTTCACAACCCCTGTTATCAAATACACACACTCTGCTCTCATTGAAAAACCCAGGTTATTGAAGCTCACTGAGCAAATGGTAATACTATTTGGAGCTGAGCTGTGTTTGTGTGTCAAAGAGACTATAATAGCTGCATATGGCATTATGGCTGGATGTATGAGCGGGGTGAATGTCATTCTATTTATGAGGTTATCTCTAATAGATGGACAGTTGAAGTCCTGGTTTCCATTCACTCAGCTCTCAGCGCCGCTCTTTGAATTCGATGCTGAAGGCTGTAATAGCAGGTGATAAAAGAGCTTTGATTTCCTCCTCCTTTGCGCCGCATTCACTGTAGATCCATGTGCGAACCCCTGCAGCTATATGGAGTGTTGCAAACAGTGCTGACTTTTTTATTGTGTCTTCTTCTAATTTATATTTGCTTTATTTTGCAGTATTTCACCTTTTTTTTACAGCCGGTTTTCTATTTGGTTTCTTATTTTCAGTTACTTTTACTGGCATTTTGTGTTTGAATGTGAAGTTTAAGGAAAGGTAATTTGAGGTATTAAAACTTTGGAACAATAAATGCTTTGTAAGATTCTAAAGCGAAAAGATTCCTGTATCACTGGAGCCTACACTTCCCATAATGCAACTGGATAGTGTTTCTTTAATCCCGCATCTTTTAAGCTCCACACAGCCAGTTGGTATTGCGGCCGTTTTTATACATTTGCTTGTAGTCTCCAAGCCCTGATGACATCATGCTCATTTTGGGTACTGCTGCTGTCTGGTCCTCATTTTTGTTGTTGTTGCTCGACCTTGACCTTTGACCCCAGCTATGAGGAGCGAGCCCGGTACCTAGAAACCATCGTGCAGCACCACCAGGAGCCGACCACGTTCGAGGACTATGCGGCTCGGGTCTACAGTCCCGCTCCCTGCACGCACCTGCCCTCTGACACGGGTAAGATGCAACCTTCCAGCCCGCGCAGCGTCCAGACCAACGTAACACCAGACCGGCAAAGACCTCAGAGGAGAAAACTGCTGATTTAACAGCCACAGGGGCCACAGCTAGACGTGTCTTGACCCTTACCATAAATCCTTGGGGGAATTTAGACTAGTGACATTAAGACCTATGAGACAAACTTCAAATATTTCATCTGTGCGTGTGCCTTGACCGTACATAATAACTAAAATACATTGGAAAAAAATGATTTAATACTAAGAACAAAGGTAAATATACAGCTTTTTTTCTCCCGCTAAGTACCACTGCTGGATTGTTAACTACCAAAAGCATCCAACAGGGCCGCCACACACACACACACTTACACACACACACACACACACACACACACACACTGGCAGCTCACGTCTGAGTATCTGATGCGTTCTGGTTTCTGTCCAAAGCTTCTCGCAGAGCCTTTTTCTGTCTCCAGAGCGTCTCTGAGGAGTTAGCTGACATCTGATCAGCCGTAGAGATGCGAGCGAGTTAAACGCTGCTGCGTGACCCTCATGTGTGTCCCCTTAAGTTTATTAGACGGATAGTGTCATTGAGAATAGCGTGCTGTCCTTTGACTTGCACGTAATCAAATTATTCAGCGTGGCAGTTATTTATAATTATCTAATCCTACAGCTAAGCCACATAAAGCATGAAGGAGCACCAGTGGGTGACGTAAGTCTGCAGACCCACCAGTGTTATATGTCAGCAATACAGCAACATGAGGTTCTACTCGGTTTCTTTACTGGTCAAGCAGAGGTGTGGCTGTGAGTGTCAATATGTGTGTAATTGAGTACTGATGTTTTTATTTGTCCAAATGCTCTTCATCCCACCAGCTATTGTGTCCCAAATGTTAATAGCTGTACAATAATAATCAACCTGCTTTGAGGCTGAATAACATTACACACAACCTGGGTACTGAAATCCCTAAGCATGTGGCTCTTTATCGGGTTGTCGGTGTGTTCTTCAGCCCCAAAACGTCATTCCAGAACACAGGATCAGAACGTCAGTCCGATGGTGAGACGCTCGGACACCTCGTGGCCACTTATTTCAGCACCAGCCTGTTTCAGCACCAGACTAGTCTGAAATGGCCAAATTACTAATCTCAAAATGTGCACACCATCGCGTCGGAGATTACGGCAAAATCTGTACGTAATAATAATATAAATAATATATTATTATTATTACTATTATTATTATATAATAATTATATATGATATAATAATAAGCATACTAATCCTGTGCTCTGAATTACAAATTACGACCCCCCCCCCCCCCCCGGTCCCCCAAAGAGGAGTCTCTCTGTCTCTCTGTGTCTGTCTCCTGATCTTTACTCAACTTAGGTTCCTCACCCTTAAAAGCACAATGATCAAACATTATCCTCTTTCTGTTTTTTATTTTTTATTTTCACTTTCTAATTTTTGCTTTTCCCCTCTTAACTTTTTTTTCATATTATTTTTTATTTCTTTTTATTTTTTTGTCTTTTTCTCCCCCCTCCCTCCCCCTCCCTCCCTCCTTCAGATCGTAGTGTCTCACTTGCCTATAGCTAAGAAGGTAAGCCTGGTCACGTGATTGACCCGCCTCGTTATGATTGGCTCCTCCTACTGACATTTCAGCCTAACCTTATACTCTCCTCCGATTCCTCCACCATTTTGCTTCATCTAAATTTGTCTGTTTTCTCCTCTGTGTTCTCCACAGTGTCAGCAGGCCTGCATGTGTTTGCAGTCGTATACTGTTCAAAAGGTGTCGCGTCAGCTCATCCGTGGGTGTAGTTTGGTATGACGAGCTGCTATTAGCGCACCGTAACTCAAGTAACTCAACCGCAACCGTCTCTTTGCATAAATAAAGACTTCTTGAGCAGTTTCATGTGAGGACGTTTTTCTGTCTTCCGAACAACACCTGCCAATCGCATTACTGCGCGTAGGGAAGTGTTCGTCTATGCTGGGTTCTGCTAGCTCGCATAGCACCACCGAGCTAGCTAACCGGGCATTAATATTCTTGTATTTTGCGAGTAGACGTGCGCTTCTTTCCGCGCGGTGATACGGTTGGAGTCTATAACTTGTGATTAAAAATATAGTTCCTGCATTAAACTGCTCACAACAAGGTCTTTCTGTCGCACGTAATTGTTGCTTTGAGCACGACGGACCTAGCGCCCGTTATATCGGCGAGAAGGTGGACATCTTTACGGTCGATACAAACTAGACTGATAAACGGCACAACTGGTAAGAGTAGCGATATCTGTGCTTTATATTGGGGTGAACTGTCCCTTTAAGGAGTACGTCATACCAAGCTACAGTCAGGGTCAAGATGAAAGTGAGACGTCCTTTTCTATAGAAACCTTTTCACTCACTGGGTCCTCTTCCGGTTTTGTTCTGTTAACCTGCGCTGTCACACTGACCTTTTGTGTGCTCCTTACTTCCTGGTGCTGTACACACACACACACACACACACCGTGTGTAACTTGAAACTAACATAAGATGTTTCTTTCTTTGTCAGTACACTTGTTTGTATTTGGAGTTGTGGTGCGGATGAGCAACATGGAGCATACATGTGTACAACGTGTCGCTGGTCTGTTTGTTTTTCCATTCTGTCTGTTGAACGTATTGTTTTTCACCTCTCTGCAAGCAACTCATTCTGTATTTTTATTCATTTTTCTATTTTCTTTCTTTTCTCTGACCGTCCCTCCTTCACGGATCCTTTGTCAACTCCTCTTTTCATACCTTCTTTCTGTTATCCGGTTTCCGCTCTATTCCCGTCTATTTCATTCATTTCTCTTCTCTGCTGTTTCATTCCTTCTTGTATCCTCTTTGCTTCCATCTTGTCGCCTCTTTTTGTCACCGTCCCTCCTTTCCTTTCCTCTGCCATCCTTTCCTTTCCTTTCCTTGACCGTCGTCCTTCAGAGGAGCATAGTTTTATGTATATGATGGTCCCTAAACCACTTGACAGCTTTAACCTGCTCAGGGTGAAGAGGAAGGGTCTGAAGCAGAAGGTTCTTCATGCTAGCTGTGAATGGTATTCTTTATAGATATAAAATTATTACATTTACGTTTCTTTTTTTCTATTCTAGTTCTTGTCTAATGACGTGTCGCTGGTATCAGCTGTAAAGTCAGATAATGCTATTTAAGAATCTTGTAGAGCGTAATTTCAAAATTACAGTCTGCACCAAACTACCTGTGAGAACAGACGAGAGCGGAGCTCAGGAGACACGTCAGCTGATGTAGATGGGAGCACTTTCAAGTTGTTAAACATTGAATATAATTTATGTTGCTCTTTTATTACACACCGTCTCAGAGGTACTCACAGCTTTAAACCGTATCGTTTGTTCTAGGAAGTGAGCAGGTCTAGATATATTTGTGGGGGGAAGAATCCAGCGTAGAAAACAAATAGCGTGGATGTTGTGCGTTGTCTAGTGTCTTTCTGTCTGTGTGAGTTTGCCATCTGGCTCAGTAGAACATTGAGGGGCGTGATGTAACTTTCTTGTTGTCCCTTCTTCCTTTTCATCCCCTTATATATCTCCTCCCTCCTCTCTTTTGTCCTTCCCTCCCCCAACAACAATCCGTCCTCCGCCCCCCTCTCCCGCCCCTGCCTCCTCCCCCTCCACAGGCTCCTGCCTCGAGATTCTTCGGGGAGAAAGTCCGGCTCTTGGGGAGGCCGGGAGCGACTCGGCGTCCCCCATGTCTCCTCGGACTAGCAAGAGCCGCATGTCGATGAAGCTGCGGCGCTCCTCCGGATCGGCCAATAAGACTTAAGCTCAGAGCTGATCAAACTCTTCTTTTCAGGCAATTAGTGCTTAAAAGTTGCAAAATCTGATATGAATTACACTGAAAACCAGCTGTGGTGGGGAACTCCACAGGCATTTATTTCCAACGGGAGAAACAATGGATGTCACACAGTTGTACTCTCAAAAAACAGTATTTTGTGAAGTATAAACATATTCATTTAATTTAGAAGCTGCTCACAGCTGCTATAAGCCTTTGGTTTTGCACAGCCGAGGCGGCGCTCCATCATAATCCGTGCCATGCTAGGATTCACAAAAAAAAGTGTGCCACGTTAGATGCAGTTCGTTTTTGAAGAAGCACGTTTGACGAGGTTGAACGACAGAACAAACAAGAGGTGGAGTCTGTATAGTAGTGTATAGATAGTCAGCCTGTGTGTGTACAGGCACAACTATGAGTTTTGATAACAAAATAATTCATTTGCGAATGAATGCACCGTCGGTTTTGCATGGAGAAAGCAAGAGGAAACGTGTATTTTGTTAAGTATAGCATTAGGCCGATAAAGATGAGGGGTCCGTTGCTATTCAGTCCTCGTGACATGTCCATAGAAAGCTGGCTATAAAACGCTGCATCGCTCTCATGCCCAAGATGTTTGAACCCAAAAAAATGTCCTCCTCCTTGAACTTGTGGTCTGGAAAGCCGAGCCTGGAAGAATGGTGGAGGGATTATAAAGAGAAAAATTAACGCAATTTGTCACAGAAAGTGTCAACTTTTTTGTGCTTGTGCTGTAAAATGTGGAAAAAGCACTGATGTTCACTGCATTTATGTTACTTTTATGTTATAACTGTTTGTTTGTTTGTTTTGTTCCTTTTTATATTCATATATATATATATATATATATATATATATTCGATGTATGAATATCAATGAGTGTGTGTACAGTGTGCGGAGGCCGGTTGTTAATACTGTTATGTGAGAATAGCTGTCAAAGTCGGACCTCATTATTTGCTTAAAACACCACGAGATGAAAAGCTTCCACGGTTTCCCCTTTTCACAACCGCTCACTCTTCATTTGCTCGGTATTCAAAGGGAACACGGTTAAGGTTTTCTGTACTGCGGATACGCGTAACCTCGGTACCACAGTGTCATATTCTGGGTTTTTATCGTTTGACATGTAAGTGAGGCCGGAGGAATTAAGGGGGGAAACAGAGTGTTTAAGGGAGAAGGGGTGAAGAAAAGTGATGTCATCTCACCATCATTTAGAAATGAACGGTTTTGTGATTGTTCTTTTATTATAATTTTTCTTTTTTTTAAATCCCACTATTGTATTTAGACTCATCCCCATTTCTACTTGTGGATGGAGGGGATCTGCTCATAATCATAATCCATAAACTGTAACTCTACGTTGATGCACTAACGTTTCAAATTGTTCTTCATCGTTTACTGCTGGGCCACTTACTCCACATGACAGCTAAGATGCATGAACTTATTTTTCCCCCTGGCCTGATCTAAAGGAAGCACATTTACTGTATGCGTCATTTGCATTTGAAAATATAGATCCAGGTGAAGGTTTTGCATTGTGCTTCACTGTGTAGTAGTATTAACAACTGCATTTTCTGTTACTGTTTCATTTTCTTTACTTCAGGAATAGAGAGGAAATACATGGTCCAACTTTTTTTGGGACCTCTCTGGTATCTGCCAGTCTAAAAATTAGGTCAAATTCATGTTGTTATTTTGTGCATGGCTAATTGTTTCCCCTAAATTATTGCTGTCATTATCATTATGATTGCCACGGTAAAGAAGCACCATACATTGTTTTTGACATGTGTTCTACCAGCCCCACTGCACTCTGGGAAGGATCTGTTGTGCGTGGAGTGCAGCGCAATCTCTCGGGGTTTGGATTCAAATATCAGTGATTCCACCTGATTATTAGTCATGCTGCTTTCGTAGCACCACCGAAAAGATGGGGATTTTTTCAGAATATGTAAAGGATTAGCAACCCTGATTAGCAAAACCAAAATGTAAAGAAAAGTTACCCCAAGCCTTTCAGCATGATAAGGAATCCCTCTCAACCTGCCTGGGGACCGTATCAATCAGCCTTATTGACCGTAATCTGAAATCTCGGTGGTCTGGGGACAGTTACCATGTCGACCACACCAATGTCCCACTCATCTACAAACTTACATGTAACTGCTGCGCCTGCGGGGATGGAGGCGGACACGGGCTTCTGCTGTTGTCAGCCAGGAAACTGACGTATGTAACTACTGACTGTACATACTGCATGACGCCGGTTCAGTAACTGCATGTGGTGATCGGCTGCATCACAACACTTCCTCCAACTGTGTTACTGTCACACCTCTAGTATGTAGACGTGTAATGTCTCTTTTGGAAACGGAAGAGAGCGCAGATGTGCGATGGAGTTTGACAATAAACAATTCGTACCACTTAACGGACGGACCCATTCATTGTGTGTGTGTGTGTGTGTGTGTGTGTGTGTGTGTGTGTGTGCGCCATTGAATGATTTAACAGAGCAGGACTCCTCAGCCATCATAGTGTCTTAACATTTATTGACAATAATTTAGAATAAATGTCACATTGAACTTCAAGAATATCAAAATACTTTACAGGCTTAATAGAACCACAATGAGATGATCCGCATCAATGATGGTTTCAGCAAATATTTCAACAATAATGCATAATCGATAAAGACTAAATACTTTTTTTTTTAATTAGCAGTACACACATTAAATGTTCCATTTCGGTATGAAAATATTATGTTAGCTGAGAAACTTACCGGCACATTTAATATAAAAGGCATATTATGGTCAATCTATGTATTTTTCTTTGTTTTGTTTTTTGTTCGCTGTACATGAAAAAGACATTGAATCTGTCTCCAGTTCGTGGGGTATAAGGTCACTTTCTAAATGTAATATCAGGTCTCCACACATCACGCCAGTAATGGAACACGGGCTCCAGGGTTATTTTACCCCAGAACTGTGTCCACTGTGAATTTAAACGTCTGCCACACGTGGAGAGGTCTGTGTCTTTGCCTCAGTGCTAATGACCCCCTTTGCTCTAACGAGTTATAATAAATGTAACCGTTTAGTTGCTGTGATTAAATATCAAATAATGTGTTGGCCGAATGAAAGGATGCGAGAGAAGCTGGAACAGAAATCTCATTTTTCCCCTACTGGAGTATTGTGATTGTGTTACTGGCTGCACAAATTAAATCCCGAGAGATTTCAACAGAATAAATTGCCATTTAGAACAAGGGTAACTTTAATTTACATCAATTTCGAGGTTTAATCTCATAATAATCCATCTGTTATTTTACTCAATTTTAGATCTTTCACCCGTCTACAAAATTAAAATGTCCTTTTCACTCTGTTGGCTGTAAAGACTGAAAAACCTGCTGGAAGACAACAGACCTTCCTTGGACCTGGTGTCGTTTTTTTAATAGTAGTTTGACCGGGTCGTTTATGTTGCGTGGTTTCAGCACCGTGGACAGTTCCGCTCCGACCAACACGCGTCTCTAATTGCCAGCGACACAGCGACGTTTTGTTTATTTATCAGTCATATGGTCAGAACTGTATCTTGGTCAAACAATTGAAGACGCTCAATGAGCTTTAAACAAAACCCATCCGCGAGCCGCACACTGGCTCTCACCGAGCTTTTCGCTTTTATCGCAACTGAACCAAACAGGCCTCCGTCCCAATTTGTAACGGTACCTTCCTGAATGCAATGCCAGTGTGACTGTGCGTGGTCCACCTCCAGCGCGTTTTACGGTCGGACGGTCATCTGCAGCAGCATCACCTGCCGCTTCTCGGCAGGATGGGACTTGTTGACGTGCCTCGCGAGCCCCGGGGAGCTGTAGAACGTAGACGCGCAGTGCGTGCACGTGAAGACTTGCGGCTCGCGCTCCCCGCTGCCGCTCTCCCCTCCCTGCGCGTGGAGCAAATCCGGCCTCAGGTCCCCCCGCGGTGTTCCCGCCAGTAACTCGTCCCTCACCGCGTGCCACACGCGGTGCTTGTCCCTGATCTCCGCCGACGGGAAGCGCGCGCCGCACAGGTGACACGAGAACACCTGGCTCTGTCCTCCGCTCGTCTCGCGCGCTTGCCCATAAGAAGACGGGCTGGGAGACGCTCGCGCCGTCTCGTGCGCGGCCAGGTGTTTCTTCAGGTAAGCCTGCCGGCGGAACTTCTTCCCGCAGTACCGACACTCCTCCGCCTCGTCCATGGGAAGCTGGACAAACGGCAGGTCCGCGCCCTCATCCGGGCTGCCGTTTAACAGAAGCCGGCTCGAGGGCGGACCGAGAGCCTCTCTCACCTGCGGGTCCGCGCACCTCCCGGCCGCGTTCCGATATGGAAGCGAGGGGTCGTAGTGGGGGCGCGCGAGGCCGTCGCCTTCAGGGCTGTCCCGCGAACGACCGTGCAGCAGCAGCAGCGGGGGCTCGCGCCGCACGCGGGAGCTGTCCGCCACCCCGGGGTGCTGATTGCCGTCGGTGCGCAGCAGCGCGTTCTCTTTGCCCTCCCTCAGCGGCTGGCCCTCGTCGGCCTGCGTCTCCCCGCCGCGGCCGTTTACCGGACGAGGCTTGTGCCAGCGGCGGTGGGACGCCAGGTTGGCGGGACAGCTGAAGACTTTGTCGCACTCGGGACACCGGTACTCCACGCGCACTATGCGGGAGCACTTGTGCTGCGCGAGGGAGAACGGGTCGGGGTACTCCTCCGTACACAGCTGGCAGATGTACTCTCCGAGCGGCTGGTTCGCGGTGCCACCGGACGACCTCTCCCGCTGCCTCCTCAGTCCGGGAAGCTCCTTCTTGATCCGCAGCCCCAACACCGGCGAGGTCGTGACCTCATCTTCGAAGGTCAGCTTTCGGTTCACTTTGGGCTTCTTCGCGGGCGGTCTGCTGAGTCTGCTGCGTTGGTCCTGCTCGAGGAACTGCTCCGGGTTCACTAGTGTCAATGGCGGGAACAGGTGACCCACGCGCGTGTCGTACCTGTTATCATGCTCGTAGGACGGCGCGTTGCGGCTACTGCTGGCGAGGAGCCTCTCGATGGAAGGGGACGCCGGGGTCTGCGTGGATCTCACCAGGAATGGCGGTTCAGGGAACCCCGGCACCGGGGAGGAAGTGAGGCGCTTCCCGGGGAACAGCGGCTGCTGATCTCCCTCCTCGTGGTGCTGACGGTCCAGCAGTCTCGTGCCGACCGGTTTAACGGGGCTGCAGGACTGGGTCGACGTCAGGTCGCGTGGGGGCAGAGGGGGGGTGAAGAAGCAGGAGAAGTCGCTGCGGGGAGTTTGACCGGCCGCCTGCCTCACCTGCTCCTCGATCTCCGGTAACTGCGCAGATTCCACGTGCGGCCTCCACGCCTCTGTGACCACGGTGGAGTCCCCGCGGGACGCCGGGAGCAGTCCACCCGGCACCACGTACGGGAGCGCGCTCAACACGTCGCTTCTCCCCGCTGCCGGTCGCTCCGTCGCTTCGCACTTCTCACTCCTGTCTCCGTAACATGTTTCGGGTTTGTTGTCACTGTTTGTTCGGGACCGGTACGACGCTGGACATCGCCGGTTTCTCTTCACCAAGAACCCTCGAGGCATGGTGGTGGTGGTGGTGATGGTGGTGATGTTCGGCACCACCAAGCGAAAGGAACAACAACCACTGTCTAAAGCCCACTATCAAGTAGCGCTTTGAAGTAAGAGAGAGAGAGGGAGAGGGAAAGGGAGAGAGAGAGAGAGAGAGAGAGAGAGAGAGAGAGAGAGAGAGAGAGAGAGAGAGAGAGAGAGACGCGCGCGCAGGTGTGATGATGGCACGAGAGAGAGAGAGACATCAGTGTGCGTGGTCACTGGCACACAAATATACACACACGCACACTCAGATACACACAAACACGCACTTTTAATACAGGACCAGGACGCTGTATATTCATTAAATATCACTCAATCAGCTGTACCATTTTGACCACCAGCATTTGATGTGTTTACTTATTTATTTATTCTACAGAACTCTTTGGAGTTGGATAAACCCTAAAATAAACAGTTGGTGGCTCATTGTACAAACTAAAGGGTCATATTGATTTTATTTATGTTATTTTCACTGGACCAACGTTGTTTTTTCTCTAATAATGAGGGCCACTTGTTTGCATTACATTGCATTGCGTTACATACATTTGTTGAAATGTTTGGACAATTGCAGTTTTCACAAGAAAACAAGTGGGTTCAGAGGTGAACAGGAAGTTTGCAATATGGTTGTGAATATATTGAATAATCATAGTGAGTCGTTATAATTATCAGTCATTTCCCTTGTGGTCTGAAACACCTTATTGGTTCCACATTGATGAACTTTTCCTCGTATTTCTGGCTGAAGTGCTTTTCACCTGTCAGAAAAAAAAATCTGATGTGTGTGTGTGTGTCTGTGTGTCCGGGTAAGTGTGATCATCCCCTTGGGGGCTTTGACACATAGAAGTGTCTGATTGTCTTTGTTTGTGGTGGTGGGAATACCTCGAGCCCAGTAGTTTACACATAATCTGTGTGTGTGTGTGTGTGTGTGTGTGTGTGTGTGTGTGTGTGTGTGTGTGTGTGTGTGTGTGAGTGAGTGAGAGGGTGGGAATTGTTCACATCCATCACTAGAAGCTGCTCTAGCTGATAAGAGATCGGAGGGATATTCATCTATGTTCCCCCCCTCCCCAGCCGTCCCCTACGGGCTTGGCCGGCCCCCCTGCGCGGGCCAGGAGGCCTCGGCTCGGCCAGTGGTGCTCAGGCCAGCCGGCCTCGCTGGATATCCATCAAGGCGTGAGCGTGAGAACGAGCTCGGGGGCCGGGCTGCTGGCTGGACGAGGGCCGCCTGGGGGATTGAGATGAGATTAGAGGAGCGGAGGGGGGGGGGGGACGGCCCAACACTAAAGACTAATGAAGCACCAGCTGTGTGGCCCTTTAGTTGGGTTGTTGTCCCCTGTCATTCAGTGAGCCACAGAGAAAGTCTGACCCAGGGTCAGTTGTTATGGAGCCGGCTCACCATGAGGGACTGAGGGCCTCTGCTTTCGTGGCCTCGGTCAGATTATTTTTGATCATTTTACCCCTCTTTTTATGGCAAGGAAGCCTGTTTGAATAAGAAAAAACAGAACGTATAATTTATGACAGGAATCTAAAAAATATACGGAAACTCGTTCTGTTAGCTCTCAAGCTACAATCAATATTGTAGTTATTTCACATTACTGTATTAAAGTTGCTCACAATTAACTGACTGAATTAGTATTATTATGAAATCACACCTGTATGTTCACTGAAAAGAAAGTAACACTCAACGACGAAGGAGTTTGGTTGACGTAGAACCCATATTGAGGGAAAGGGGAAGAGCAGGCATCTTTTTTAGTAGTTTAAAAACAGGACAAATGTTCTCTGGTCGATGTCCTGTAAATAAATGGATTTCCACAGACATGGGGGATGTTGGCTGGAGGACATGAAGCGTGTGTGAGTCCGTGTGTGTCTTTAGTTTGCGTCGCGTCAGTGGCCAGTGAGGTGGATGATCCTCCAGACTGCTGAAAATGACTCTATCGATCTGCGCTTCAGTCACGAGCCTTTAGGTACTGCAGTATAATCCAGTGTTACACAGGTGAGCTGTATTCTCACTGCGTCTGTATGCGTGCACGCGCATCGGGTGTTATGGGGGGAAAAAATAAGGAAACCTGCTAAATTAAGACATTTCCCTGGTTGTCGTATAATTATAGAACTGTGGGTATGGTCAGTCGTTAAGTGTACGTTTCATTCAGTGCGAGGCCCCCAAGTGACGAGGGAAAAAGAAAAGCCCATCAATCATCCCTGAACACGTGACAATGAATTGGGCTCGTGCTGCGTGCTCGGACTTAATTAGGCGGCCGCGTGGCGCTGCGTTGGGTGGCAGCAGACACGTGATCAATGAAGCGGTCATTTGCTGCCATCTAGCGGCACATTCACAGCACCAGCTTTTTCACATGTGCTGGATAATATTAATGATACTTATTATCAATATTCAAACGTTTTCATTGACAGCAGACCTGTTTCTCCTTCGTGCCTCCACGCACTTTCCTGCTGCCGTTTAGTTACTCAAACCCAGTTAAATCCGGCCTCTGGCCGCGGAGTGGTAATATGAGGAATAAACATATAAAATAAGCGGAAGCTAGAACTGTGAATCTGTGCAGGTTGAGCAACTTTATTTTCACTGCCGTGAGACAGAGGGGGAGATAATGGACTGCTCACTGCATAAACCTTTCTTCTGCACAGACCATAAACTTTGGAGAAAGAAAAATGTTCGGGCCCCAACAAAGATGTAACAAAATGGTCCATGCTGAATTTTGTTTTTATTTTTAATTTGTCCAGATGTAAAGCAATACTTATTAATAAAATGAAAACCAAACAAGTCTCCAGAAAGTCTCACTTAATATTTATTCAAAGAACCGTCATCCTCGACATCCTCTGTCCCGATGTTTGGCTTTCGGGACAGAGGATACAGACTGTAAAGCCCTCTGAGGCAAATTTGTAATTTGCGATTTTGGGCTATACAAAATAAAATGAATTGAATTGAATTAAACCCTAACCATGGGTGAAGGTGACTGAACCAGACGAAACTCAAGTAATAGTGGCCAACGTTAACAAAAGGTTTCCAAGTCTCTTTCACTCAGGCATCTATGTTCTCCTTAACGACGGAAAAGATAAGCCTACTCAGGACCAGATGAGAAGGATGGACGACTAAAGGGCAGCGGCCGCCTTTCTTTCACAGGGGCAAACTAAGTAATCCCTCATTGAAACTATATCTATATCAGTATTAAAGTTCCATCATTGGAGGCCAGATTTGACGCAACAAAGTAAAGCTTTTGTAGTTGAGCTCAAACGTTTTCATCACTTCTGTTTGTGTTTCACAGGGCGAGACTCCTCCGGGCTTTGGTTTCCCTCCTGGGGCGGTTGAGAGTGGACGTCAACCAACCCGTCATCCCGGGAGGACCCACCACAGACCCCTGAATCTCTCTCAGCACCTCAGTGAGTCCCAGACCCAGAGAGTACTGTTACGTGGTCCTTGCCCCGCCACGCCGTCACCCCTCGCCCCACCCGTCCGGAGAGAGGATGAGGGGCGGCCCGTCCTCACTTGCATAGGGGGCGTTGTTTATCTCCATCGGCATCTTCTGTGCTCATGGGTTTGGGAAGCTCCTCACACACACAGGGAACCGTCGGCAGCTGTCAGCCAACCCTTACAACAAATAAACATTATGCAAATCATCATTTATTGTTGCATTCAATTTTCATTAGCATTTACATGTATTACGGTATTATTACCAATAAAGCTGAACAGTATAGTACTTAAAATATTGCATATAAACATGTTAGCGGATGCTTTAAATCAGTGGTTCTCAAATGGGGGTACGTGAAGGCACTCCAAGGGGTACGTGAGTAGTTTTTTAAATAAATACATTTAAAAATTGAATAAAATTGAAGAAATAAATAGTTATTCAATAAATTGTCAATAAGTTTAAATTCATAAATTGGATTTTATATTCAGTTTGCAATCAATTTTTATTATCTTTAAAAGCCAGAGTCTCCCCGTACCAGGATGCTTTGAGCCAACCTGGCACACGCCCCCCGTCATCACCTGTCAGAAAACAAGGTGCAGCCCACCCAGTGTTGTTTCAGTGTTAACAATTAAAGAATTCAGACTCTGATGGCACATCACTTTGTATTACACCTTTTTTCAACCAAAAAGGCTTTGGGGGTACTTGACTGAAATAAATATTAGTATGATAATAATTTTATATATATTGACAACAATAAAAATAGTAATATAAATTTATTGTAGGTCCAAGGGAGCAAGATGTCAAGCAAATGAAATAGATGAAATCGATTATCACTGTATATGTGTATATGTGTTTGTACACATGTTACGGAGACAGGAGTACACATGTGTTTGATAACGTGACTCATTCACATGACCAACTGTTATGACGACATGACATCTTAACAGCATTAAAGCAACGCCGCTGTTACAAAAGTAAGATCATTCTGTGAATTAACGTAAAGCTAATGTCAATAATTCCACTTTGACATTGAAGAAACTGGTTCACCTTACATTTCAGGAACGTCAAGCTTTATTTAATAAGGATCTTAGTCATGCAAAGTCAGCAAATTAAACAACTTGTTTAAAGCTCCAAGGTTGGATGGTTTTTGTAGCAGGTTTCCTATTTCCAGGCTTGAAAGCGACATTGACATTATTGACAGCAGGGCTGCCCAATAGGTCGATCGCGATCAGCAACATCTACATCAGGACTTGGAAAGACCGTGGGTTGACCCCCGGCGACTGGAAAAATAGAGACGGGCTCAAGGGCACCGGCGACCGGACACGGGGAGCTCTGGAGTGCCGCCGACGCTGTGGGTTCAGTTGGCCTTGAACGTTATATATGATGTTATAAGTTAGGGAGACGTGCCGCATTGTTAGAACCCTGTTCTTTATTTTCATACCTCCCTCAGGCGACAACAGTTACATACAAAAGGTTCCCCGTATTGCACCTAACGTTACATCCCCCTTTCTGACTTCAAGATGCCTTCTACATATGAATGACTAAACGATGACAGAAAGATGAAGAAAACAGCTCCAATTATTTCCATTCACTCCTCTTAAATGTTTAACTCAACACAATAACATAAACAGGTATTTAACTCAAACTGTACATATGAAATAGGCTTACTGTAAATATGCAATCATGTCCAAATAAAACAGTTGACATTTTTACTTTTACATTCTACATCTTCTTCCTCTCACGTTTTTGAACATCATTCAATCATAAACCCTTTTAAATGTGCTACTTTAACAAACATTAACAGCTTTAACAACGCTTTTTCAAGTCACATCTCTCCTTCCTACGAAGCGTAATTTAAGTACGCTGGAGGCACTCTGACTCTGGAAGAGACATGTCTCGCTGTCACTGGTGTCCGCTGCCCAGATGCAGCAGGAACAGCAGTTGTGTTTGCTCCACAGTATTGGGCCTCCTCGGGCATGTCGGTGAGTGTTGCTGGTGCAGTAGGTGTGGGCGACTTCCCATGGAGGATCTTGGAGTGCCTGCATTGGATCACTGTGCCCCTCTCACGGATGTCTTTGACCCACACACAGTCACCTCATTGCAGGAGCGGCTTGTTGCGTGTCCTGTGTTCTGTTTCTGCTTCTGTCCGATTGTCCATGTGTGTCCATCCTGGGTTAAACTGGGGTGGGATGACAGGGACGGGTGTTCTAATCTTTCTGCCCATGAGGAGCTCTGCTGGACTGTGTCCGTTCGCCAGAGGAGCGGTGCAGTCGGCCATGAGGCCAAGGTGAGGATCACTGGACTTCAGGAGACCTTTGATTGTCCTTAAGGCCCCGTTGCTTTGTGGGAAGTGGGGGCTGGATGGGACATGGCTGAAACTCCACTCTCGTCCAAACTTTCTCAAGTGCTCAGATGCAAACCCTGTAATATACTGTGGTATTGATTTGACAAGCTGGTAAGACTGGAAAGAGTACTGCATGTTATTATTAAGCAAGGAAAAAGCGAGGTTGCTTACAAAAAATATAATTTATTTAATAGAATTTCCCAAAACAATGGTAAACAAAAACAGTAATAGAAGCATTTTGATCCCACTGCCAATGGAGCCAAACACATTATTGCTCTTTCATGTGGTTCTGTGAGCGTGAAAGGGTCCCAAATTTGCAGTTCAGAAGAAAACACTTTTCCCCACTGACCACCAGGGGTGTGACTTGGGCTGGAAAACAGCCCTGAACCATTTCTGCAAAACAATCATCCAGAAACGAACAAACGTTTTTACCCTTTGTGACTGATTATATTATAATATAATTATATATTATATAACACATTTTGAGTTTCATATACTATTGGAAAGAGGTTCTGAGCGTTCTAAAGACACCACAATATTGTCACTCCCAATAGTAACCAAGATACATCATATTATAACTATTGTCACTGAACTGAACAGATTGAAATACAAATGTCTATCTGAAAAGTAAATAATGAAGAGTATGAAGTTAGATTACAGTGAAATACAAAATGAAGTAGAATATCTTCAAAGTACAGAGCACACCACTGATTTAAGCAAACCTGAAGGTAAAACATACTTCACATTCACACAATGTCGGCATAAACTGTGCTGTGCATTTTGCTGTCCGAGTAAAACCCTTTTTTGGACTACAGCTGTGCTTCCTCGTGAATTACTGGCGCTTTATTTATGGCTCTAAAATAATAGTGTTGACCTGAATGTTTGTCTATTTGAAAGAGTCAAAGGAAAAAACAGAGAAACATTTACTTCACGTGGCTGTAAATAAATTGGAAAGCCTGCCAGACAGGAAGTGAGTCTGTCTCTTGGTTCAGTAAGGGGAGGGGAGAAAAAGGGGAAGGAGGTGGAGAAACAGGTAAAGCAGTGAAGCCCCACGATGTTTCAGAGCCCATCAGATAAGGAGGAGGGGTTTCTCCATCGCGCTTTCGGTCTCCGCACACTCAGCAGTTCAGAATGCAGTTTGATGAGTCATTGTTGGCTTTGACCCTTTGCCATCCTGCATTTAACTGTGTGAGGATGATTTGAGTGATTCATAGTTAGTCATTCTGTGTAACACGTGTGAGCCGGGTCCAGAAGGCCCCGGGATTCCCACGACGCACGCAAACGCGCACGGATAGGCTACATGCAGGCGTCCATACGTACATGCACATTTATTTGGGAAGGGCTCCTCTTCTGCAGCATATTCAACGGAGATCACTCAAATAGCACAGACACACGCGCTGATTTTAAAATGATCCCATGTAACACATATTTGTTGTCTTTTAGGGTGGTGATGTATTTGCATTGATGCAAATTCCACAAGTGGTTATTGTTGTATAAATAACATTGAACCAGGTCTATACTCACGGACACGGTGTAGTGATCTGGGCGAGCACGATAGTTTGTAGCTCTGGTCTATGGAAAAGCAGTTCCTATGGAAGCGGGTGCCAGGCTGGCCGCCCTTTAAGCCAATGTTCTTTTACCGCTTACACACCTCTTTTGTGTTAATATTTTTTTTCCTGTTACAGAGGGAAGAAATTGAGGTGAGAGATCAGCATGCCAGGAAAAACATCTGGCAACCCGACTCTACGTTTATTCCAGGAATCGCTCAAATGAATGAAAATATTTAAAAGTCAAAGTTTAAAGTATTGAACAAACAGTTCCATACAGTATACAGTAACCCGAGTCAGCACAACTACACAAAACAGAAGTCACAAAAAAAGGTGCACGCACAGTGCACGTCAATGTCATGGAGCCTATTCTCTCCACTCCGGATATCTCGTTTCCTTACTGGAGATGTTTCAGAAATGCGCTTCACCACAGTGTTCTGCAGAGGGACTTTAACTCCCTGACTTCCCCTCGAAGCTTCTGGGTGATTTCTCATGCTGCCGTGTGCGTCACTGTCAAAGACAGGAATGCTTACTGGATTCCTCTACTGGGCGAACACTATTCATGTTGTGGCGTGTGCTCCGGGAGAGAAATGGTCTGACCCCATTTTCCCCCTCACAACGAGGAATGATGAAGCCCAAGCCATGAATTGCAGTTTCTCACCGCCCACACAGGGTCTTGGCGAGGAGCGAACCCGGTGGGTCTGTTTTTTGGGCGGGGAGAAAGGCCGCGTTTTAATCCCCCGAATTTCTTCTTTACAAAATTTCGGCAGAGGACTCCCAGGGGTGAAATGGTGAAAATCCTTCTTCCTCTTGGGGCCCGGCCTAAACGTGTTCGTTTTTTCGGGAGAGAAAGAACCCCCCCCCCCCCCGCGCCCCCCCCCCACAGTTCTCAAGTTCAACAGTCAAACACGATACAGATGAGCATAGTTAATTCGGAAATGTTTGTTACAGTCTTTGGGTTTTTCTTAGAACGAATCCCTGCTGGGAAACATTCAGTAGCGAGTTCTACAAAAAAAAATCCTCCCCTCTCCAAAATATCCCAACCATCACAAAGAGCTATAACTATCACAGACTCAGAGGTTACAAAATGTTCTTTTTCTTTTCCGGAATTTCCGGTTGGAGCACAATATGAATGACTCAGGTTGCGTTCTGAAGAGCTCACAAGAGCCCGCTGGGAGACACCCTGGGAAAACACTCATTACACAAGACAAATATAGGTTCATTTGTCACGTTTGCAACTGTTGTTACTTCCTCCCACATCTACTGCTGCTAGAGCCGCACAAGGATGTTTGTTAGATGCAAAAGAAGGTTTGACATCAACTGGTGCAGATTGTTCCTGTAATAACGCAGAGCTTCTGTGGTTTCAGATCAAATTAGATCTGCACTATCACAGCACCATCATTTACACATATCCCATGTTTGAATCGTCCAATTAGACACGACATGAAAGTAAACTAAACAGATAAATACAAACTAGCAAACGAAGGGCTGAGTGACGTAGACCGGTGTCGAGACTCGGTAAATGTTTCAAATCTATTTGAAATGTATGTCTCAGTACATAAAACAAGCCCCTCCAGCCGGCTGCGTGCATTGCTCTCCTCCACATAACGGCCTTAGTACCTTTTGTTTTCACTATGACTTCTAAGCGGCTTGTGATCAGCCGGCTGGATGCGTAGCATGAATTCACAATGAACTGTGTGGTTTGTTGCTTTTACCGTCTGGCCACCCCTGCATTAGAAACTGATGCATGCACAGAATGCAGATTAGAAAGGAGTCATGCAATAGGTGCACAGCGGGGCGTCCTCAACTCAACCCTGTGCATACCTAAATCTAGTTATCCGTGCACAAGATCCTCCAAAGAAACGCTTTTCTGATTGTAGACACGATTAGTTGCATGACTGTGCAGTTCACCAGTCGCTATCGTGACAGTAAAAATGTGCCTAACCCTCCCCGTCTAACTGGTCATGCAGACGGAACAATGGGAGGTAAAAAGGAGCCTGGAGTTTCCCTCAAGGCCCCCGGAACATCATGTTCAGCTTGCTGTTTGTTGTTTCTGAAAGGGATAAGTCGTGTGGCCTTATCAGGAAACTCCATTTTTACATCTGCAGAGCAAGTGAATGATCCAAGACTGGGTTATTAAAGGCACTGGTTTAATCCTCATCTCAGTAGAACATCAGCGCTGGCATCACTCAGTATGCTAAGCAAGACAAATAACTTATTACGTTTTTACACAATATCATTTAATCAATGCACGCACCACAGTTGGTGAGAAAGCATGCCGGGCGGGGGACTTGCAGGCCTGTTGGTTTGTGCATTTTCATGGTGTGATACGTCCCCTCAAATCAAATTGCAATCACATTTGGTGGAATCATGGAGGAAACTTCCGCACATGCTGCAAGAACATCCCCTGCAGGTCCATCGGCTAAGCAACATTTCCTTCTGATTGAGGGATTCAGCACAGATGTGCTAACGTAGGTGCAGTATCAAGACTGGTCATGCAACACCCCCACCTAATGCCAACAACATATGTGAAATCATATAAATGAATCAGAAGCCGGTGCTTCAAGTAGTTTGGGTTTCCGGGAGTTTAGTGTTTCCCCGTTGAAGTGGAGTTAACAGTTAGTGATGCACTGCTTTCCTTATTAGATTGGCTGACTCAGCATTAGATACCAATACTACTATAACAGTCTACATTTTGCATGCTACATTTGTTGAGGAAGCCCTTAAGTAAAGACTAAAGTCCTGCAGAAATGTGTGCGTGCTGCCAAAGCGAAAGCCTGCAAAGACAACTTTGCTCCCTTGGTGACAAACCCAAGGGTGTATTTATGTGTCTGAATAGAAATCCCCTCATGGTGCCAGCGCTCCGTGCGCCGTGTTATTCTGAGTGACAGTGTTCTGGAAATCCCCCACCTAGCCGTTAGCTCCGCCCCCCCTCCCTCTGCAGCAGAGGGCATTTACAGCCTGCTGCACAACTCCGCCCGTAGACGACCAAGCGCTCCTCGTCCCGAACGACACGAGCCCCCCAATGGCCCTCCGCAGGACCAGTATATTAAACCAGATGGATTACGGCCGCGAGTCGAAAGACGGGAAGCCGGCTCCGTCGACGGAGGAGCGGCTGGACAGCGGCCTGGACTCGCTGAAGGAGGACGAGTACCAGGCTGTGGCGGCCGAGATCCGTCTGCTGCAGCTGGAGTGCGAGCCGCCGCAGCGCGGACGAGCTGCCCCGGCAGCCGGAGAGCCGCACGAGTGGAAAACGCAAATCACGGAGGACGGAGACACGTAAGTCAAAGCAGGAGGAACTAATATAAAAAAAAAAAAAAAATTAAAACGACGCATTGGGATATCTGCGAGTTCTCCGAATGTAACCCCGCGCTCGTGATGTGGCCCGAGCAGAAGGCCCCGCGCGGAGGTCTCGGAGGTAATTCGACGCCTCTCCGGGGAATGCGGTACAACGCACCGCGGCGTCGGGCGATTCTGGGGGGGCTTCGACGTACAATTCGGTCTTTCAAAAGACGAGGTCGCGGTGGTGCGAGAAAAACGCGTGACGGCTTCGCTGTCGGATAACGGGGCAGGCGCTGCGTCGTAGGACGTAAACAAAGGGCCATTCTCAGGAGGGAATCTACTATGGCCGCGGGTCCGGCTGGGAAAGTCCCAGGCGCGCCGCCAGGGAATCCGACCGACGCGCGCTCCCGTGATGCGAGGAGAAGGGAAAAACAACAGGGGATAAATCACCAAATCACACCGAGGTTACAAACACAACTTGTGGAATACGCGTCGGCTGCAAGGGAATAACTGGTTCATATATGAATTAATAGAAAACAATTATGTAACTGAGTTCAGATAAAATGCACCAATAATCGGTTGATCGTGCGCTGTGTGAGGTTTTGTTTGCACAATATCTTTCCTGCTGATGATAATCTGGATAAATCACACAACAATGTTAAACTTATTCGTTTTGAAGACTTTGCAACAGTCTAAAAAATGAACTCTTATGCCTGCAATTGATTCAGCACAATCTTAAATTAAGTCATTTTGTAACTGTTCAGGAGTACCGTATTACAAAAAATAATTTGCAGTGTAAACTATAGATTAGGTCTAACAGTGTTCTACCATTCCTCTCCGTCTCCACAGGCTGCTCCACCTGGCCATCATCCACGAGGCCAAGGACTACATCAGAACCATGATCGACCTGTCCAAGAACACAGACTTCCTCAACACACAGAATGACCAGAGACAGGTACTGAAAGGGACGATCGTCACGTAAAGAATCATTCAAACGTCCTTCGACTCGGTAACTCACCTGTCCTCCACAAACTCCTTCTCGTCCTAGACTCCTCTGCACTTAGCCGTAATAACGAACCAGGCACATGTGTGCCAGCGCCTGCTGGCATCCGGCTGCGACCCCACGCTGGTGGACGACAGCGGGGACACGCCTCTTCACATCGCCTGTCGCCACGGCAACCTGCCGTGCTTCAGCGTCCTCACGCAGAACTGCCCTCTGGAGCATCTGCCCACGGTGATGGCTGCCTGCAACTATCACGGTGAGACAACAAGCAAAAACGGCCAGGCGTTACTTTTCCCGCCCTATACCGTTTTTTTTCAATCCTAAATTGAGACCCGTAAGCTGCTTCTGTGTCCAGTTATTAAAGCTCTTTCTCTGATTGGGTTTCCTGCAGGTCAGAACTGCCTCCACCTGGCCTCAGTTCAGGGGTTCCTGTCCCTGGTGGAGAACATGGTGGATCTCGGGAGCTGACATCAACTCAAAGGTGCGCACACAAAAGCTATATATGAGAAAATACACTTATATGTGGCATATAAGTAAGGACCAGCACGCACCTCCAGCTAACACCATCCTGCCTCCTCTCCCGCCCCGTAGGAGCAGCGGAACGGGCGCAGTGCGCTGCACCTGGCCGTGGACCAGCAGAACCTTTCGCTGGTCCAACTGCTGCTGAAGAAAGGAGCGGACCCCAACCTCCTGACCTTCGGGGGCCACACTCCCTTCCACCTCACCTACGGCCGCAACGATAACGACATCAGGAAAGAGCTTTACTCGCTGACCGATCCCGCCTTGCGAGACCTCCCCGACAGCGAGTCGGACAACAGCGAGGAAGAGGAGGACGAGTCCGACGAGGAGGTGCGTGTTCAGAATGCAGAGCGGCCGGCGTTGCGTAAAAAAATCAAAAGAGCTCTCTGGACAACTCCTTGATCTCAATTTTTGATCTCCGTGTGTTTGCAGGTGGGTTACGACGACATACAGTGGAACGGGCATTAGCGGCGAGCAGCGGGGGGAGGAAGTTACAGAGGCAGGAGGATGCGATGATGACAGTAAAAGAACAAGTGAACGGGTTCGGCAGCGTCCGTTACACCCTGAAAATACGTCACGCGGGCCCGACAGCGCTGGAGGTGGGAGACGAGTCGGTCCCGGGCCACCAGAGGACAGACACGGCGAGCTGTGACGGCAGGGCGAGTTTTGCTCTATGATGAAGAAGGGATGGTTCATATTCGGGGGGGGAACCGCAAATCATGTGTCACAGAAAGCAAGAGAAGAACATCATCCATCCACACAGGCGTACCTGCAACAGCTCTGTTGTATGATATTGTAAATGCTGTGTATACAAAGATGTATTTTTTATGGAGGTGTGAATGTGGACATTCGAGCAGGTTGTACATGTCCAGCACACTCCAGTTAAATTAAAGACACTCATATTTAACATTAAAACAATGTGTATGTGTTCATATGTTTGGGGGGGAGGTGGGTCACATGAGTGATGGCTTGATTGTAAGACTGCAGTCGGTCATCAATGGCAACTGGTTTTAGAGGAAAATGTTATATCTTTGGTAATATTGGTAAAGAAAGCTCAGCTAGAACCCAACGTATAATTGACAGTGCACGACGGTGCTGCAATTCTGAGCGAAGTTTCCTTTACCGTCCTTCTGTCCGTGTGTCTCTGCTCTATGAAGCGCAACAGCTGAGTTTGAGTTCTACATTTTGCATCGCAGTGCATGACATGCAGAAAAGGGCTGATAACTCATTTCCACCGAATGAGGAACTGGCGGCTAACTGGGCTTGCCACAATTCCTTGTAGCGCCGTGTGTGTTTTGAGAAAACAAAGCACACGAGGCTGGTTGCAGTTATCGGGAACTTTTTGGGAGGGTGGGGTTGAGGAAGGGACAGGAAATTCCCAGCAACACGACACATTCCTGCTTCTTCCTCAAAAGGGTTCTCAATCGTACAACAGGATGCTGCAGTCACGTTTCTGAAAGCTTGTAATGGAAATCAGGTCACTGTCAAGCGGCCCGCTTCACGCACTGCAACCGTTTACATGCACTGTCAACTTGCTACAAACCAAAAAATAATGCATTCAAAACTGTAAAAACACCTGCAGTGTTCAAGTTGGACTAAAAGCATATTAAAGAGCTGAATCCATGTGATCTTTGGTGGTTTACAACACATTATACATACACTTTCCCCACCCACTAACATCTGGGAGTGCAAATGCTGTGGGGATTTTTCACACTAAAGTGCGTTTCATACTTTTACCCAGCTGCTATGCGTTTTAGACTTTAGCCGCTTTCGAGGGCAGATGAAACAAAACAATTTACATAAATATTCATACGGTCCTTCCATGTAGAACTCATCCCAGTAAGCTGTATTTTAGCAGAGAAATAAGTTAAAATAATAACTGAAAACATGGCCGGACAAGCTAATGGTGCTCTGAGTCTGACTAACTTCACATTTAAATAAAGTTTACGTCGGTGGCACACAAAGAAAAGGAAATTGGGACACTGGAGTGTTTGATAAAAACATTGTGTTTAATAGAAGTGCAGTCATGTACAGCAGAAGGGAGGGTCGAGACACAGGGGAGAGGATGACTTCCTGTTAACATGGACCTAAACAAGGGCGGGACAATGGTGACTGTCTGATGGGAGGATTCCCACAGCTGTTCCCCCAAGTAAATGAGACTTAAAAGCCCGGTGATGAAACGGGGGAGACGCACACACATCGGGGCGGCCCTGAGTAAATACGATTGGAAGCTCTGTTGTCAGAGCCTGGAGAAGCCACAGGACAACAAAGTCCTCGGGTGGAAGAGGTCTGAGCTCCATCCGATGGGGACTGATGTGAAAGTCTAAATTGGAAGCTGCCCGCAGTACGGCTAGAAAAGGGGGGGTTGATATTATTGGATCCAGTCAGGTCCTGGCTCATGACCAGTAAGAGTGGAGGAGGGACAAGTGCAGGTGGGAAACATATTCTACCCAACCTGGTAATAAGGAACAGATTGTTTCATGTGTTTCAACCTCGCTGTGTGGTACGGACAGTTCTGAACAAGAACATCTCCTTGATAATCTCTCTGGGACGAGAGCGGGGGGGAGGGGGGGGTTGCTGAGGGGAGGGGAGGGTTCTGGTGTTTCTGTTCATCCTCTTCAGAGCTTCCCTCACTCTCTCTCAGACAAAGCCACCAGGTGGACATCAATCTCAGCCTCCGACAGAATCCTGGAACACACACACACGCATTGAGAACACGTTCAACCCTGTGAGGCCTCGCTTTGATCTCATCCCTGGTTTGAGTTTTTATAGGAATTTCCAAAACACTATTGTTTAAAAAAAGTATTTTTTAAAAGAGCTCTGATGCACTATTAACAGTGCCAAGACATTGCCATGTTTTCACCCAGTGTAGGCAACACAACTGCAGGTGCAATGGTATCTGTGCAGAGCAGCATGTTTACTTGAACAGCAAATATTGTTATTCAATTTTCCTGTTGTGTGCTTCACTTTGGAAAAACACATTTATGGCAGTGAAAAACTTTGGCCAGGAGGACCCCATCCCTTGCCATGACTGCCTTTACTCTTTGAATGAGGAAAGCACTCACTTGAATTTGGATTCTTTTGTAGTAATTACTCCCACCTCCAGCTCCGAAGGCTTGAAGTCGATGGACAGAACGCTTGCCAGACATGAGATAGCCGTCTGTTTTGAGAAAAAGCATGAGCAAAATCAAATCTGAGAGCTCAGATGACACTTACGGTGTTTATATATAATCATTAAATATTAATGAACAAATGCCATAGCACGCATGTTTATCCACCGGCTTTACTTTTCTACCAACTACATTAATTAGTTAATCGTTTTTTAAACATAGTACATTACATGTAGAGCTGTGTGACAGATCACACCTTGTAACACCGTGTGACAATCACCTTTTTTACTTACTAAAAAAAATGATATCTGGCAAGTATTAGCCAATATTTGGAACAGAATAGAAACAGAAAATAAATAATCAGTTATTAGAATAATTTCAGTGCCTGATTTGTGTAACTGATTCAATGGCTGCCAGCAAAAAGCCACTAAGCATTGCAGTGAGTCTAAGGACACAAACTCAATAACGGCTTTTTGATACGCAAAGCACTTCTTGACCTTCCCTGCTAAAGAAATCCCAAAATAATAACATGACATTCAGGTTCCAGCAGTCAGGTTGCATGTTCGTTACCTCTATGGTCTGCTGATAGGTCCAATCCAGTTTCTTCTTGACTTTCTTCTCCAGAAAGCTTGTGGCCTCAGTCTGTTTGACTCCAGCTGCTGTGGCCTTAAAGCCACAGTAGTAGCCTGCCGGATCGCACTTGTACAGCTGAGGACCCAACTCTTCATCCATCCCGACCAGGATCATACCTTGGAGGAAGGATGCAAGGCATAGCGGAATGAAGACCGAACAGTAGAAACATCGAGAAACAGTTTTTAAAAATACCAATATCAGGTTTCAAAGCTATAATGTACACAATATTAATTATATTAACAACGCTCTTACCAAAACAGCTTTCAGTAGATTTCAATACATCACAAATTCATGTTAATATAAAAACATGGACTCATGAAGAAGCTCTAGTCATGAAGAAAAATTATTTAGAAAATGTGTGACACGGTTTTCCACATCTCTAAGAGTCAACTAAGAAAAAAATATGCAACACTAACAATCATAAAGGACACACATGCACACTACTCACAGCAGCCTAGCGGCCTCATCTCAGCGTTCTGTGTGTAGACTTGGGAAAGGTCCGCCATGCGTTTGCACAACATGTCTACAGGGATCTCATAGCCATACTTATACATCCAGTTAGCTGCTTCATACCGCGCCCTCTGCACCTGAGACCTGCTATCAGCTGCACAGAGGAAGAGGCAAAAGAATTTAGGACTGGACAAATGTGACAGAATATGACATTCTTTAACATGGTCGTCAATGATGTAATGACCCATTAAATCATTTTTTTTAAATGGACGGTACATGGATTACCTGTCATTCCAGTCATAACACAGCCAATGTTCTCTGTAATTTTGAACAGATGAGTAACTGTCAAGGAGTCCAACAGCTTGTCCTGAGAAAAAAAACACAGAAAGATCTGAACATCACATACAACGCGTTCAAGTGTCTAATCTGACCACATTGACATAGAAACATAAACGTGTGTGAGTGTGTGGTCGTGCATACTGACCGGAACTTTCTTTTGTGTGACAACCACAACACAGTCCTTCCCTCTGATCGCTACGGACGTCAGCCCTCCCTGGTTGATGGCTTTGAAGGCATATTCTGAAGACAGACAACAGGGAACGGAGGGCACTTCTAAATTTTGACAATTATGTGCAGACTTATTTCAATTTCAATCACGAACATAGGTAGTTGTTTGAAACGTACCGTGGTTTATCACACAGAGCTATGGAAGTATTACACAATTCATAGCGTTGTTACATCCTGGTAATGTTTGTTTCACAGATCTTTGGGTAACATTGGAAACTGGTCTTAAGTCCAACATTTCATACAGTTCATTTATGGCGACCATTTTTAAGAGAATGAGGTAATATAATCGGTCATTATACATAATATAATCATTAAAGCTGGGAACTATTGGTTAGTATGTTATGGTTATGTCACAGACAACTGCTAATCAAAACATGGTTAAATGGTAGCATGGAAAGCTAAATCAACGGAGCTAAGACGTTAGCACCAATGTACCAAAATGAACCAATTAGTTAATGAATAACTACATAACTACATGCAATCATAGGTAAGCATTTATCAGTTGCCCTTATTGTGACTCTTACCAAGTACTGACTCATTTTCTTAATAACAAGAGGCTAGCTAGAGGCTGCCAGCTAACGTTGGTCTTAGCTTGTTAGCAGCTAGTGATGACAGAGCATGTTGAGTTTGGGGCTTTCTTTCACGAACGTCACTCACCGACTTGGTAAAGTCTTCCCTCCGGCGAGAAGATGGTGATATGGCGGTCAAACCCTGCACTCGACCCCCGAGACATGACGGCTGGAAAGAGCGTTAAACTGGTCTAGACTGTTGAAAGTAGAAGCGAGAGGCAACAGAGGCAAAACAAGAAAACACATCTAACGTTACACCGGATGTGATCTCTCTGACTGGAGTCCTCCACTTCCGGGTCAAGTTTGCACACGCTACAACGCTGCACTGATGCTAATGCTAAGAGTAATTAATGCTTAGATGCAAATCGAATCAAATGTAATTTCCCCGTGTCTCAAAAGTTGAATTGAAGAGTTCAGACCACTTTGTTCTTTGTTGTACGTTATTTATTTACAAGTCCACAGTTTATGGTCCAAACATACGAGTTGTGTGTCTGTGTTCAGTGGTTTGTGGTGAGGCACAGCCATCGCTGTGGTACTTCATAGGTGCACCTGTCCTCTGTGTCGTCGTAGGGAACGTGCCACGAGCCTGCTGAAGTCTGGATGATGGTGTCATAGCTGGGAATACTCTAAATACACACATAGTTAATTGGTTACTGCTCCTTTCACTCGTTCACAATCATCCACTCTCCGTTCGGACACCCCCTGGTCGTCCTCTTTGCTCACCTGAAATCGGACTCTCCTGCCTGCCGCTACGTACCCGTCCACCACCAGCTGGTGGCCTCGCTGCCACTTGAAGAAGAGCCGGCGGGTGGCTCCGTCTGGCAGGCAGGCCTTGTGGTCCCTCATCAGGTCCCTGCTCACAAACCGACAGTGGTTCCCGGATTGCAGCGCGGCGTACAGCAAGAAGGGGTCATCCTCCGAGCTGACCACACGCAGAGACCGCACGGTTAACTCTGCTTCTTAAACATTGTCAGTAAATAGCCTGTGTTGTCCCTGCTGCGCAAATACATTTTCGTCTTATTCTTTGGTACATATTCCATGCCATTCTTTTTTTTTTGTTATGTGCTCACATGTTGTCAGTGAAGAAGCAATGAGCCTTCTGCTGGAGGAGCTTCATGTTGTGTCTGTCCCACGACCTGGAGGGTCGCAGCATGTGTTTCCTCCCCAACACCAGCACAGTTAGGCCCTGTCTCTCCAGCTCGGACACCACCGTCAACAGCTGAAACAAACGCGCGCACACCTCAACACACTATATACATGTTAACTACAGAACGCGAATGCCGAATGGCACACACGTCTGTCTCGATACCAGCTCCATGGTGGTGCTTGTTGCAGCTCCTAAATGACAAACACAGATCCTAGATCGGGACACATCTTTGTCTGTTGGTTCTTTTGCTTTATTGTCTCTACAGAACATCTGAGGAAGTGTAAAACAAATATGAACTCACAGCAAAAAGTACAGATAGTCGACACATATCACACATCCTCACCGACAGACACATGTGGGTAGACAAGTGTTGTTAAAATCAGGTATGGGCCAGTTATACAAGCACCTCCTACACACACTGCAGGGTTAGTCATAGTGCAAATGGCTTAAAAGTCCCTAGGTTGGACAGACACATAGGAAGGAACAAACCAGTAAAACAGTGACGGTGTGTGTTTTCTCACCATCTCGGACTGCCTGCCTTTGTCCTTGCTGATATTTGCCACATTCAGCCCATCTACGACGACGTCAAACGCCGGCTTCCTCTCCACAAACACCTTGAACATCTCCAACTCCTAAGCAGAACAAGACAGAAAGAGCAATACATTGACATGGAGGAGTAGAGAAGCAATGAATATTAGAAAAAAGAAAAAGAAAAAGAAAAAAAGTTCTCCCTGAATATTCTACTAAAGCACTCTATTTTACACGGGATGACATTGCTGCTTTTTATTGTTGCTATTTAATTAACATTATAACAGAGAGAATAGACATAGTGTACTTTCGTTTTCACTATGTGTGACAATTTGATGATATTTACAGAGCATGCTAGCATTTGCCCACTAACGGAAAACGCTAGTGTTAGGTTATCATCCACAGCAGGGGTCTCTGACCTTTTTTGCCACACGCAGCGGTTTTGTGTTAGATAATATTTCGTGGGCCAGTCTTGAAGGTGCGGCAAAACACAAATGACTTGTGGAAACATTTCTATGCAGTCCATCCAAAGGTTAGCCTAACAAATGTATTTGGGTTCAATGACTCATTGTTAGCAAAGGTAACTGACTTCAGTCACAATTGACTGACTAATTACTTGTATGTCTGACTAAATATTTACAGTAATGACAATGCAAAGGAAGATTATGCAGAGCTCTCCCACAGCCACATGGGGGTTCATTCCTTACTGCGGTCGGGGACTGATCTGAACCCCACCTCTGAGTTGACAGGCCTGATGGTTGGCTGATTTTCTCATTGACTGATCTCAGGCCTGCCAGCAATACATTAATACTGGCAGTTTGACCCTGACACTGAGGACCTGGGGCCGTTACTCCCTGTCGGACGAAACGTATTTTCAGTTAGACTCACTAATATGACAAAATGTCAAGTGGGCGGCTGTCAGTGCACTCGCAACTATTTTATATGTAAAACATTTGGTTATACTTTACTTCCTCTAAAGAAGTCGCTAAATAACCAAAAACATTTATATTTATTTTAAATAAAAAATTAGTTACAATATTTTGGTGTCGGTTGTTGAATTTGAACACCACTTGTTCTCTGCTTTGTGCCCTAAAAGGCAAATAATGCTGCAGCGTCTAATAGGCCTCCAGTGCAGGAACATTGTCACTAGTACTTTCACTTTAAGATTGCAGTACTATGGAAATAGTTTTGCAGTGAATTCCCCCGGACGTGAAACTTAACTGTGGTCCCTGCCACCATAGAAATGTTAAAATGTCTGTAATATTCCTCCTTCGTGTCCCGTTGATGCTGCAGTATTATTGCTTTAATTGACTGAACAGATGCACAGTCATTTATTCTACGATGATGTGCAGTTTCACATTGGGGGCTGGTTGTGGGTGGGGGGTCGGGGGGATTTGGGTTGGAGGCTAAATACATCAAAGAAAAAGAGAGACAAAGTCTGGACCTGAGGAGAGTGATTGAGTAAAGTGGCAAAAAGGTGCAGAAATAAAACTAATTATAAAATTAAAAAGAAAGAAGGAAAGATTAAGAGCAGCAGATGGAGGAAAAGAGGGAGGAGAGAAAGCCCAGTATAATTATCCAGGGACTTTCCAGAGCCAACAACGAAACCAGATCATTATGCTGCTGTGGATGATTACACAGTCACACACCACTTATACAATGCATAACATTTACATTATATTTGAGGATCCATTTTTTATTATTCTCTATTCAAAATAGGGCTGATCCCCAAAGATATTAGAAATCCCCTTTGTTATAATTAAATGCAAGGCTTCACCACTAGAAACAAAACAAGCTTCCCAAAAGGGATAAATAATAGTTGCTCTGTTAGTTGGCATTGAATCACACTGGGCTTTTGATTTTTCTGGGCACTCATTGCAGAGTCAAAATGCACGACTCGATCCTCGCGACTCGCGTGTCTGTCTGTGCCTAAAATGACATCACGAATTGATGACTTTATAATCGGCACACGTGGACAAACGCAGGTCCCTCTCGGTCTCCGCCGCTTCACTGTGGTCTCAAGCACCCTGTTTTGCAATTTGCCTTCATTTTAGGAATGAATAAAGTGGAGGTCAGCGCCGTGTCTGTCTGCCTTTCTTATTGCTTCTCCTCGCGGGGGGTAGACGTGATCCAGATTCACATGGTGCTCCACATGCTGGAAATCCCCTCAATTTAACTAACGGTCACACCAACAAACTTCCCCTGACTTCTGAAAAACACAAAGGAAAGCGTTCTGACTTTCTCTCTGTACAAAAAGAAAAACGCGATATACTATCCAAATATATGCTTATGATACAAGATATTACAAGTTGGTTATCGGAACTATTTCAACTGAACACATTTTTATTTATTTTCATTGGCATTATAAAAAAACAACAACAACAAGTGCATTGCGATCTAGTGGAACGCTTTCTGTCCCTCTCCGCGCGGACTCAGACTTTAGGATGGCAGAGACGAGTTCCGCTGGCCGTCCGTGTCAGAAGCTGATTTATAAATATCACAGTCCAGAGAAGAACAACAGGGAAAGACATCTGACGCATCACTCAAGTTTAAAACAACTCCTCAAAAGGAGATCCGATGAGAAGCCGTTATGATCTCATTTATGTTCACTAAGCGGGCTCGACTAGCCTCGACAGTCTGCTGAGTGTGTACCGATGACGCCATCTAGCAGAAGAAGGTAGAGCGATGGGGGGCTAATGGACCATGCTATTGAACGATCAGACTGGATTCTTCATTTTTGTTGGTTTTAAAAATACGTTTTCCATTTTTGGAACAAAGTCAAACTTTTATTTGACTTTTTATTTCCAACCAACAATTTAAACTAAGCTTAAAAGTACAGAGATGATGTATTATTCGCCGTGTACTGCTTTAATCAGAAAGTTAACATCAGGGTAAATTAGATTAATGGACAAAGTAAATTCAATACAACACTTACATGTTTATTTCATAACTGACAACAAGGAAAATAAATAAATACGTCCTTGTAGAGATGCATTTTGGCAATTTAAATAGTATGGACAACCTTAAATTTAAATGACTAAAGACCCTTCCAGGTATTTGGGACATATGGAAACCCTGCTTAGCACGTGTGTCTGTTTGTGTGTATTTGTACCTCTGGTGTAGTTTTGTTAAAAACATCTCGACCCTGAATGATGTCCGTCATCACTCTGTCTTTCAGCTGTTGGTACTCCTCAGCAGTCAGCTGGATGGACTCTAAGCCTGACCCACAACTCCCACACACACCCCTACACACACACACACACACACACACACACACACATTAATCCAGGAATGACATATTCAGCACTATTCTGCACAAATATGGATGAAACATCTTCCGCAGAGATTAAACTTGAGGTATGAAGTGATGGAATTACTTTGGACTGGCGCTCGCCCAACGTCCTGTCCAGCTCTGCCCCGTCAGACTGAAGACAATGTAGAAGAGACCGACAGGAAAAAAAGAAACGAGAGTGATGTTAGGTTCATATAAACAAGAGAAAGTGATTAAATGCTGGTTTTATCTTTGTACAGAAAGGGCCGCAGAGACAAAATAGCTGAAAACGCATTCTGAAGCTATACCCAAATAGAATGAAGGTTTATTGACAACATTATTGTTTTCATAGCAGCACCATTTAAAACTGATCAAATAACATCTGCATCAGTCAATCAGTTGTGTTTTTTAATACTTCTAAAATGATGAATAAAGTCAAACAAAAAAACATGTGGGTCTGGCCTCAGTTCCCCCCTAAGCCAGTTCGGCATCTCTCTCTCGCACCTCTCAAACCAGGTCTTGATGGTGTTGGCGAGGCCGTGCTGGGGGTAGATCTGGTTGTTTCGCATGTAGAGCAGTACCTTCAGCAGCCTCTCCTGCTGCTCAGACTGAGACATGGCCTCGGCCTCCTTCCCCCCTTCATCCTCCGTCTTCCTCGCTCCCTTAAACAGAGCGTTCCAGGTCTCCGGGTGTGGGCTCAGTCCCTTCTCCATCACCTCATCGTAGAGAGCCCAGGCAGTGGTCGCGTCACCATTTAACAACGCCGCCGCGATGATATCCCCATAGTTGCGCGGTGACGGGGTAAAGACCTGGAATGTAAAACCGGGTGACGGTGGAGAAGGGATGCCATGTCCTCCAGCTGTGGTTTGAGATGTTTACGATAAAAAATCAATCAGCTGTTCACCTTCTTTAGCTCACCCAGGATGACGAGAGCCTCCTGCCACTTCTCCGTCCGGCAGAAGGACTTGATGAAGAGGCTGGAGGCTCCCGTCTCCAGAGAGGGGAAATTTCCCCGCATAATGTCATAGACATCAAACACCTCGGCGTTGTGGCCACCGCTCACACACAGCGTCAGGTACCGTAGAAGCAGCTCATAGGACAGCGTCCCCGTTTCCATGGCTGCGAAGGTCAGCAGGGACCTGTGGCAGAAAGGTGCATCGATGTGCCTCGCTTGTGTCTCCCGCCATTTGGTCAAACAGTAAAACCAAGAAATGGGCCCAAAAGAATGTCAACAATAAAATCCCAGACAAACACACTCGTCCTGCGCTCACTTGGCAATGTCCAGCTCCGCCCCGCGGGTGAACAGCACACACATCATCTGGATGTCAAAGCGTGGATGATTTCCCAGAGACTCCTTCAGCGTCCTCCACTCTGCAGCAGAGAGCGGCCGGGTGGGAGGCTGCACCTTTGCTGGAAGTGAAGAAAAACAAAAACAAAGACTCTCAAACACTTTCATGGACTCAGTTAGTCTTCATAAAGACAGCAGAAAAACTAAAAAACTCCAGAAGTTCCTGCACACAAGTTGTTTTCTACAATGTTGTTGTATTTTGCATGACGGAGGGTGTAAGAGAGAAGCTTCTGAGTGCAGAAAGATGCCTCCTAATAAAGTAGATAGTTCGTGGGTGTCCTACCTGCTCCTCTTGGTGTCCTCCCCTCAGGATCGCCTCCATGCCGCTCCTCGTCCTGAGAGACCGCAGATGTTTTTCTCTTCAGCATCTCTGCCGTCCTCTTTGCCGTCCCAGCAGCAAACACAGATTTGTGGGAAGAAGGTCTCTGCCAAAGGGCAGCGCTCTTGCCTCCTCCTTTCGTAGCACCATCCCACAATTCCTCCTCCCTACGTCTGACTGTGCTATTTCTTACTCCTCCCTGTCCATCAGTCTGTCGGCTGTTCCCTGTGTCTGTCGGTCTGCCTCCTGGCTTTGGGTTATTGTGTCTGGTGCATAGAAAGCGGGCAGCGAAGGGCAGCTGTGATGTCTTGCACACAGAAGCGTTTAGTGTGTAGAAAGCCGAACCTCCCTGGTAGAAGAACGACTTGGAGGCTTTCAGGCATAATCGGACTTTTAATATCAAGCTGGAGCCCATAATTTATCATGGGGTTGTGAGAATGTAATGTGGATTATCTATTATTACACAGGACTTCAGTTATAAATCAGGTAAAAACGGTCACGTTGTCATATACAAACTGGTGAAACATTTATTTCCTAAACCAACTGAAGAAAAAACATGCTGTTAGTCACACGAATCAATAACCAGGTGTGAGACTAGCATGCTAATAACCTTGCTGTTTTTGTTAATGCTAGTAGTATCTTGGAGAAAAATGTCCTTCTCTCGTTGGTTCTATTAGTAACTGTAACGCATTAAAGGCGACTCACACTCTTTTTCGGTATCCAATTCAAATACAGCTTCTTTCTTTCTACTTTATGGATAAACACAACTGAGAGTTGCAAGCATGACTCGAGTCGCGCTACATGACGTCATCAACGCTTGACAGATGCGTTTGTGAACTGTCAAGTTAAAAGACCGGAATAAGCTATTTGCTTTCAAATTATATCACTTGAAAAAAATATATATATACATACATATAGAAACACACATATATATATATATATATATATATATATATGTGTGTGTGTGTGTATATATATATATATATATATATATGTGTGTGTGTGTGTGTGTGTGTGTGTGTGTGTGTGTGTGTGTGTGTTGTGTGTATATATGTACATATACATACAGAGATTTGTATAAAATGTATATGAGATTTTGCAAAAAATACCAAATAAATCAGTTGAGAAAATTGTATGTATTGTATCTTGGTTGTAAAAAGACTGGAGGCTAATTTTCATAAATGCATAACTGACTTTTTCATCAATACTTTATTTATAACAGTAGAACCTTTTTGAAGAACACATACTTTAGTGTTTACGGCTTTTTTACGGTTTACGTTTCCCAAAAGTAATAACATCAAGCTTTTATTTTGAAATAGGAAATCCAAAGCAAAGCAACATAGACAGCAGCTTGACGTTGTTACGCATTCCACTTATGGGGATCGAAAGGTTATAGTGAACGAAGTATTTTATTAATCTGAGAGAAGGTAACACTATGACTAAAGAACAACTGCCTCAATGGGCGGATATTTTGAAAAGACGGTTAGAAAACACCCCAAAAGGTGAGACGAAATGTGAATTACTGTCACTCGCTGGCTAACGTTTGCTAACTTATAGCTGAAGTCGTTGGTTAGCGGAGTCTCCGCTCACTTGCTCTTCACTTCCATGTTTCTGCACAGACGACAGAAGCGACGAGGAGAAGAAAGCCGAGGAAACGCATCTGTTCAGCAGATACTACACGCAGTGGAAGGGAGGAGGCGACAAAGACCAGTCCTACAAGAACATCCCACGCTTTTACTACAGGGTACTATTTAAATAACGTTACACAACACAATGCAAAGCTGTATTGTGTTACAACAGCGTTCATACCTAAATCCCACCTCAATGTTCCAAGTTTCATCAGACCATCATTTTCCATTTTGAAGAGAAATGTCACATTTCTGCCCTAAAATATTTAAGATACAATATTAGTGTAAACAAGCTATTTTATTTTAGGACACCGTAGGTTGTATTAATGATATCCGTCATCAGAACTTTGGCATTGGGGATGATGGTGATGATGTTGCGATTGTTTTTCAGCTACCGGCAGAGGATGAAGTTTTACTACAGAAACTGCGAGAGGAATCCAGAGCCGTCTTCCTCCAGAGGAAGAGCAGAGAACTGCTGGATAATGAGGAACTACAAGTAAAACACACACGCACACACAGGTTTCAGACCCACAACAGACATGAACAACGTCCACATCGCTGTCCCTTTATCCGCTTGTCTTGCCTGTAGAATCTGTGGTTCCTGCTCGACAAGCACCAGGTGCCTCCGATGAGCGGAGAGGAGGCCATGATCAGCTACGAGGCCTACCTGCAGGTGGCGGAGAAGGCCGGGGCCAAGTGCCAGTAAGTAGCAGGAAGTAGACGTTTATTGGCCCCCGGCGCGGTTCGGGTAAAACCCCATTGTGCCGATCCTTCTTTTTGTCTTCTGGCGTCGCTGGGAGTTTCCTGGGATTACTGTAAATTCAGACAAGTCACATAATGTCGTCCGGATCGAACAGATACATTTTTATTAAAAGTAAAAACTCCTCTCCCCTCCTTCCTCCAGAAAATTCTTCACAGCCAGAGTGTACTCCAAGCTGCTCCACAGCGACCCGTACGGCAGGATCTCCATCATGCAGTTCTTTAACTACGTCATGAGGAAAGGTCTGGACCGGGACCTTTGTTATAGTAATACCAGTGTACTTCATTTAAACTATTGGTGAATATATTGTGACTGGATGTCGCCCGTTTCTGTTCCCTCTGTCCATCTAGTGTGGCTGCATCAGACCCGGATCGGTCTCAGCCTGTATGACGTAGCAGGACAAGGCCACCTCAGAGAGTCGGTGAGCATTTCCATCATAACCAGCCGTTATAAGAATAATGGCTTCCTTTAAGAGTTGGATGACAAAGCCCTCGTTCTGCATAGGATCTAGAGAACTACATCCTGGAGCTGATCCCCACTCTGCCTCAGCTGGACGGACTGGAGAAGTCTTTCTACTCTTTCTACGTCTGCACCGCCGTTCGAAAGTTCTTTTTCTTTCTCGACCCCCTGCGAACAGGTGAGCCTGAACCCCACACAGGTAAAATGCACCTTTTGGGGTTGATGGAAGCTTAGCGCTGAGGACGTTTGTCCCTGCTGTTTTTCCTTCTTCAGGGAAGATCAAAATCCAGGATATATTGGCCTGCAGTTTTCTGGATGACTTATTGGAGGTAGACATTTCTTTTTTCACTACTGATAACATGCAATGAATGTATTTGGTTTCTACACTTCAAGCAGTTAAAATATCAAAAATGCATGTTTTTAAAGGGACAAATACAGGACATGTATATGAATGAATGTTTTTTTCTTTGTCTTATGAAACCGTCCGACATTACTGAGCAGATACAATGTTGTGCCATTCCCACGACTGTAAAGGCCAGCTCATGTAATTGCTTGCTTTCTTCTACTGTCTTCTGTCCCTCTGGGCATTTAGCTGAGAGACGAGGAGCTTTCTAAAGAGAGTCAGGAGTCCAACTGGTTCTCAGCCCCCTCCGCTCTCCGAGTCTACGGTGAGACGGCGTCTCCGCTTGAACGACAGGCCTCCGGTCTCCGATCGAACGCTTTGGGTTCCTGCTGTTTCTGGATGCTTTCTACCTCTCCTTCTCCACAGGCCAGTACCTCAACCTGGATAAGGACCACAACGGCATGTTGAGCAAAGAGGAGCTCTCGCGCTACGGCACGGCCACGCTCACCTCGGTCTTCCTGGACCGAGTGTTTCAGGAGTGTCTCACCTACGATGGAGAAATGGTACGATCACAGCGGGTTGAGATCTGGCGATTTGCCGTTGCGTTCGCCCTCCTCATTTCTATTAATGATCTTGAAACGTCTGTATGTTAATGTTCAACTTCAAACCAACTAGTCAGGTCCCGCTTGAGGTGCTCAGTGAGTCAGTATGTCCTGTCTCCTATGGGCAGCTGACACACACGTTTTAATGAGTAATCTTTAGAATGATTCGGCATTGGTCTAATCTCTGCTCTGCGGATAGTTGGTCCGATTAAAATACGACATTTACTGTAAGAATGATTTATTGTTTTGCTCTCCTCCTCCCTCCTACCTAAGGACTACAAGACCTATCTAGACTTTGTATTGGCCTTGGAGAACCGGAAGGAGCCTGCAGCGTTGCAGTATATTTTCAAACTTCTGGACATGGACAATCAGGGACACCTCAACGTCTTTTCCCTCAACTACTTCTTCAGGGTAAGTCTCTTTCCAAGGCTCGCGCCCAGCTTGCGTCAGTGTATGATGATGGTGATACTGTTGTGTTTTCAGGCCATTCAGGAGCAGATGAAACTCCATGGTCAGGAGCCGGTCACCTTCCAGGATGTCAAGGTATATTGTGCACACACACACAAATAGAGCCACGTTGTTTGGGCTTTGATACTCATCAATAGCCTCACTGCCCTGTGCCCAGGATGAGATCTTTGACATGGTGAAGCCCAAAGACCCCTACAAGATCACCCTCCAGGACTTGGTAAACAGTTGCCAGGGCGACACCGTCGCCAGCATCCTCATCGACCTCAACGGCTTCTGGACCTACGAGAATAGAGAAGTGCTGGTCGCCAACGACAGCGACAACAACCGAGGGGACCTCGACGACTCCTGAGGAGGACTTGGGGACTCAACTCTTACTGCTGACTCAGGTCAGCTGGGAACGTTTTAGCTCAACGTCACCGTTGTGAAAACCTTCTGACCTTTCATTTTATTCCATATTTTCTGTAAAAAATGTTCTTGAAAATAAACGTTTATGCCCAAATGTTTTATTTTTAATTTATTAATTTAAATGAAATCCCATAACTATGTTGACATTTTGTGTTGTAGATTTATAAAGTAATATAAAACTATAAATGAACAATATTTGCTGAATGGAATGATTGGGGTCGATAGAAAAGCCTTCATGGTTTGAATGCTTAGTAAATGATAACATTTAGCAATCGTTGTAACACAATGGGACAACTGTGAAAAAAGAAATGTCAGGTAAAATGAAAAAAAAGACTCCTTGTGAATGTTTTATTAACTGAGGACATAAATATGTACATATTCGTTGACGTTTAGTTAAAGTCGGCCCTTTTACAGATACAAAATGACTGTCCTTCATTGACTAGTGAAAGACATTCAGACAAAATGTTCTTAACAAGCCCGTTAAAAAAGAAAAACTTGAGCAGGATCATTTAAAAAAAGAGGAATGCTAAACACTGCTGCTGTGAGATCTGAGGCCACACAGCCGTGTCAGTGGATATAAATAACATTAAGCAGCTTACTCTAGCTTGAACTCAGCATTGCAGCTTCAGCTCGGCTAAACGCTCATGAAAGGCTTTTAGAAGGACACTTAAAGAAAGGAGGAGGAAACCAAAGTTACTAATTAATCCACCAAAACCAGCCTCATACCAAGGATTTGAGCTCTTGGAGTAACAGGCCTTAGTTAATAACGGCATATTACAGGGACCTGTTCAAAGAGCAGGAAGGCGAAGCAGCCTGGAGGAAGTACTCGTGACTCAAAAGGCTGAAGCAGCAGGGTCTCCGTACTGTGTGTACGTCATCATTCCCTGCTTATCCCTGGAACTAAAAAAACTACCCCCGCCCCCTTTACGCTTTAACAATGCACATGCCAGGTGTACGCATTGCTGCCAGAGACAAGTAACTGAGGCAGAGGAGACAAAGGCCGAGGCAGTACCGGTGTCCGACCACGGCTTTGAAAAAAGTGTCTGAACTTGGCAAATGTCTGATGCTACTTATTCACACGAACACATTCACACATAAGGCGAGTGCAGCCACTTCCACAGCGCTTTCATTTCCCCTGCACAGTGGACTAAACACAACCACACTATTAATCTACAGTATACTGCTCCTTAATTAAGGCTTCCCCACCGACAGAAATGTGTGGACGTTGTTTTCAGGAGGGGAGGGGGGAGGGCACCCTGTTGGCGTCTGTGGTGTTCACAGGAGGTTCGGGGTCCATATCGAAGCTGATGTTTACGAAGGAGGCTCTGGATGCTTCTGGCTGCTCCACGGTGGCGGGATGAGGATCCTCCTGCTCGCCGCTTTGCTGCTCCGCGAAACGACGCTCCGCCGCTCGGCCAAGCGGTCTCTCTCTTCTCTCTCTGTGTGGGCGGAGAGGCGGGGGAGCGGGGGGGGGGGGGGGGGGTTCATGTAGATATATATATATCTGTTTGACAGCTGATGTTTGTTTTCTTTTTCCGGCCTCTGTTTTTAACTGGTACGACTTTATTCGTATGTCTGCGTATGTGCCATACCTCTTTCTTTATACGGTAGTACTCGTCAATTGCATATTGGTATTTAGGAGAGGTGATGCCGAACAGAGAGGCCAGTCTCTCTCCCATGTAGTCGCACACTATGGGGACAAACAGCAGCGATATGTTCCTCGGTCTGTAAAAACCATAATGATACTTCAGGGTGCGATTGGGCCCGGCTTTACCTGAGATGGTGGAGGTGCCCATTCTCCACATGTGGAACCAGAAGTACGGAGCCCACGTCAGTTTGGACTAAAATAAAACAAAAGAAGAGAGAAATAGAAGAGGACGTGACAAATAGAGCATATGTCTGCTGGTCAACCCCCCCAAAAAACAACAACAGGTTTCAACGTACCGTATCAACAGCAATGACTTCTCTGTTGACAGGCTCCTCCGTGTCCTCCTCATCGGTGCTGAACTCCTCCATCGTCTCCCCACTGGCGAAGAAGATGGTCCTGCGTGGAACCTTCACCCTCCCGGCGGAGTCTCCCATCTCCACCCTGTCGAAGTCGGTCGCCCCCGCTGGATCCTGTTAAACAGACAGTACGTGGATCCCTGTGCCATCACTCCTCTAGCAACATCTCAACAAGACGAGTTAATGTGTTCTCAGATGAACCCTCCCTCACTGAGATGTAACTTAACTACGCAGCAGTTACTAAACTATAGTTCTACACAGTGAGGTGAGTGAATGGTCCTACATGTTGAGACAGAACTCGCTTAGGTTCTTGTCAGACGGGTTCCGGCTCCGGTCCGTAAACTAGCCCGAGGCAACGTTAGCTAACTTTGTGGCTGTTGACGGTTAGCTTCTGAGCTAAGGAAACTATTCGCTATTAATCTAAAAACGAGTTGTTGTTTTTTTCATTCACAAACACCGACTAACCTTATCAGTGTCCATGGTTTGCCCCAGTGAAACATTGACATTAGTTAAATACAACGACATATCTTCCATCGCAATTAACGTCGGCTCTTCCACCTCACCGAGATACACAGAGACGCTCTCTGTGTTCCGACAGCACTACTTCCGGTTGGAAGTTATTCAGAATAAAAGCTTTCGGGTCAAATCGGGTTTTCCCGTAAGTCGCTGTATTTGGTGCTAACTCTCCGTCCACTCTAACATATTTCATCCTCAACGAACCAAAAAACGAGGAATACATTGATCAACATAGTTGCTATGTATCTTGAGAAAACAATAAAACAAATAAATAAATAAATAATAACAAGTTAGACATTAGGTAGAAGCAAAGAAAAAGAAAAATGTAAAGAAATAAGAAGATTACTACTATCAAAACAGACCTACGAACTTACAAACAGAGAGGGAAGCATGGTTCTGCTTTTGGGACCACAACTCAAGTGCTGCATTTGTACTTTCTATTATAATTTTCATGTTGTGTTCTTCTCTTCTACTCTTAATTATGAACGTTTTACTCCACTTTATTGATTCATTGTTGAGCTGACCAGCTAAGACAGCTTTATATTAGATCTTAGATTATAATTACAAGACAACAGTATGCAGTATACAGTATACTACACTATATACTAATGACTAATGAGACGCGCTCGCACTCACTGATGAGACACTCACACATAAATACATACATACTCTGTAAACCATGTGCACATACAATTCCTAACACACTTTTATCCATAATTAAGTATTTTATTATCGGGAAGTATTGATAATTGAACTGAAGTAAATAATGTAAATATATCTTTGAATATGTATGAATAAATATTAAAACAAAATGTTAAAACAAATACACATACAATCATATTAGTAGTACATGTGTGACTCGATTTTTAAATGTTATATTTACTGTGCTGACAGTCTTTCGGGGGAACCAGATGTGTGTAGTTTTACAGGTTTACAGAGTTCAACAAGATATTCTAAAAAGAGACCAGGTGTAAATTCAGCAAATCCCGTTTGATGAATATGCTTTTGGAATCGGATGACAGCAACCCCCTAAAACGTGTGCATTTTAGGGGGTTGCTGTCATCCAATTTGCAACCATTGGAAGTCGGACCTTTATTTCGAAAAGATGGGACCGGAAGCCGCTTGACGCTCGCACTAGCTCCGGTTTCCTCTCCTGTGGTGTTTTGGTCCGGTCGAGCCCACTCACAAAAATGACAGCAAGGAAGTCCGGCTCACGACTGGAGACCGAGATAGAGCGGTGCCGTTCTGAGAGTCAATGGGACAAGATACCGGAGCTGGTCCGGCAGCTCTCCGCCAAACTCATATCAAACGGTAAGAAACGAGCGCCTCGTCCCGGCTGTTCGCGCACTCGGTGTCTCGGGCCTTCCCTCCGCTCCGAGTCCTCGGTACTTCCTGATAGCGGCGAGCCGGTGCCGGGAGTCCTCCAGCACCGGGACCTCGTTGGAGGCCAGTTAGCTAGTAAAGGTCAAGAGAAAAACACACGCCGGGTTTTCGCCATCTGCGGGCAGCGTGGTGCGTAACGTGTCACACGCACGTACTTTGATTTGGGACACGGAGGACACGGAGGACTCGGAGGACTCGGCTCGTGGTCTGACAGCTCTGCCCCGGTGGGTCTCTGCGCCCTCCGGTCCAGCGGACATCGGTCATTCGGTTGATGTCGTCCTTGACAGTAGCGTTATTGTTAATTACTAATAAACTCCTAGCAGAGGACCTTCAGCCCTGTTTGACAGGTCGAAATGCAGCTGATGTTTATACCAGAATAACCCGTTTACCGTCTGCATGCTTCATCTTCTGCGCGTAGACGTTTGACTAAAGTCCCCTAGAGTTTATTGTGGTATATTTTCAAACACTGTTTTTGCAAATAGCGTCACTGTGTGCTGACATGCGTGATAATACCAGCATGCTAAAGCTGTCTGACTGCTGAATGGTAAACAGCACAACAGCAGCAGGTTAAAAAACAAACACCCCCAATTCCTCAGTGCAATCTGAATTCTTGTATTGAAGGATGAAATCCAAGTTGTTCAACTGTAGAATTCTCTTTTAAATCCATATGAAATCAATGCATCATTTTGTAGATGATGAGGCAACATGTAAACACCGTTATATTCCATCCCACCTTGCAATTTATATTCACCTTATTATCATTACTGTTATTATACCGTTTTAAAATCACAATCACGCATGTATTTACCATCAGAACTCTGTTTCTATACATTGACTTATTCTTTCTCTCGAATCTTTGTATTAAAGAGAGTCTTGTTTTTGCTAGCCCCCATTGGGTACCTTTATTTTAACTCGCTGCATGAGTGGACTCTATACTCCACTTTCTGATCGCACCCATTGTTGAGATCACAAACAGAGAGGGAAGCATAGTTCTGCTTTTCTGCCTGGTGTCGTTAAAATAGCTGCATACAGTTTATGGAGACTAATGCACTTATTAACATTTAATTAAGTTGTTGAGAGATTACCCTAGAAAAGAAGAAATTGTATGAAATAGTTGTGAGCTGTAAGTAAAAAATAAAAATATTTGTAATGGCTTCAGTGAGAGCTAATTTACAGTGGTGGAAGACGAGGAAGAAACTGTGGCCGTTATGGAATTTTTTTTCCTAGGAGGACTGAAGCTCTGGTCACTGACTGCGGTCAGTTACAGGATTTCGAACCGCTAAAATCCGGCACAATCACACCAGGGGTTAAGCTCGTTAGGGTTCTACATAATTCTGACTGGTATGTGTGTAAGCACAGCAGCGCTCTGCAACGTGTTGAGTGTTTATTGCAAACGAGCTGGCCACCACGGTAACCTTCCAAAAGGACACCGTCTCATCAGATAGTCCCTAAAATGTTAACATGAATCTTATTTTGCATTTTATGAATCAATACGTTTTAGCTTGGCTATTGATTGATTCAAGATTGACCTTCATATTATACACCGTGACTCTAGTTTAACCATATACTGCCCGTAACTGTATATTTTGTGCTGAGGCAATTCGCCATGATTGTGTGTGTGTGTGTGTGTGTGTGTCTGCGTGTGCATAGATGACCTAGGTGAGTTGTTGCTTGGGGAATGCAAGCTCCAGACGTACCTGAAGGAGAACCCCATCAAACAGGGAGCCAGTCCCAGGGGCCCACGGCCTAAACTGGTGGAGGTCAGGAAACATCTCACTGCTGCTCTGGACCGAGGAAACCTCAAGGTAACTGTGGGTGAAGAGATGGTCAACAAATTGTCTGGGGGATTTTCTGTGGTTTCAAGAAGTCAAACTAACGGAGAGAGGAAATGTGTTTCGGTCCTTCAGGCGGATTACCTCCAGGAGGCCAGTCTGCTGATGGCCAAACTCTGCTATGTGGAGGGAGAACACAGGGACGCGTTAGGTGAGACACACACACACACACACACACACTCCTCTGGTATATTCACTCATATTTAATATCTGTTACTGGGATAATTTTAGGTGACCTTGGTTTTATACTGGTTGACCGAGGAACGTGTTGATTGATAATAATTGGTGTGTTGACAGGTCACTACAGCAGGGTGAACCTGGATGACATGCAGCTGGGAGGAGCTCCTGTGTACAGGCTATCCATGATAGCTGAGGCATATGCTACCAAAGGTAGAAACACACACTTACACGGAGCGTCGTTTGGATCCTTGATTTCAACTGTTGTCAGTTCAGTCGGCTCTAACCAGCGCTCCTGCTTTGCTCCACACGGGGGCAGTACAGGTCACTGCTGTGGAATAAACTGGATTCTGCCGGATGGTTTTGTTGCACACGGTCGCACATCAGGCACCTCTGGTTGCCGTTGAATAATGGATAATTACTTACTGTTCTATTCTTATTCAAGTCTGTGTAATAACATTCTCAAAACCCAAGCAACCATTCCCCATCATTTATAATGGATGACAAATGAATGTGGTTTTCATGAAATATGAATGATGTTTCGAGGCTCAAAGCAGCTTGTTTTAAAACCAATCAGTAGGAGAAAATTGTCACCCGAGGGATCAAAAACTACATCAAATAACTTTATCAAAAAATATGAACTTATGGTTAAAAAGGCCCAAAATGTACATCAGGCACGACTAAGTGACTCGTGGTTATTTGCCACAGTGTGTTCACTGTTTCCCTGTCTCCCCCAGGACTGTGCTTAGAGAAGGTCCCAGCAGCCTCTCCGTCTCTATCCAATAAGAACACTGGGTCGCCCTCGTCCAATAAGAGCACAACGGACCGGGACCAGGAAATCATCACCTGCTATGAAAAGTCCGGAGACATTGCTCTGCTCTACCTGCAGGAGGCTGAGAAGGTACGCGTCGGTTGCATGTGGCTCCGCGTCTTTAGGCGGACCTTTAGTTTTAGGGTTGGAAAGCAGCATACTTTAAGCCAATTGCAGCATTTTGTTTCTAAGCAACACTAAATAACGTTTTAGCACCTGGACCTCCCGAGTGCTTTGCCAATGCTGTACGTGTGTGACGAACGCTCTGCAGACAGTGTGCAAGAATGACCAACCCGTTACCGCCTGTAACCGCCAACTAGTGAACAACACTCCCCCTGTTAGTCTGCACAGAGTCTCAGAGAGGACATTCTCCAACCGACTGAGCTGGCCAACAACACCGAAGTGCAATAAAAGGCAGGAAGATACAAATCAAACCGTACCGACATTCAAATTGTCATCATGAGTTCTATAAAGTCCTGTATGAAATAAAACAAACTTTGGAAGAGTGTTGCTGTCATAGCAAAAAAACAAATGGTACGTGTTATTGTTATCTTTTATATTGTTCATGATATAACAGGTGAGGTATAAAAGGGAACAAAAGGACTACAGTTTCACTGCTTGACACTACGAGGTCACCCCAACAATTGTGCACTGAACATACAAACCTAAAGACGGATATACTTGAATATGTTGTTATATATAAGTTAATATAATGTTATGTCATCAACTTTATCGTTAAATGTTTCACTTTTTAAGAAAACACACAGTACATTGTTGTACGTCATTACCTTGCATCGCCTAATAATGCGTAAATATGTCGTTATAATGGAATACTTGTCAGTGTTTAATTTCTCAAGGGGTGGCAGCAATACGTTGCCGTAGGAAATATGATGAGTTCTAGGATTTTTTTAAAATGTCATTCTCGTATCAAAAGTCCATTGAGGTTTAGAGCTGCGCGTTTCATCTCTAAAATGTCAAAGAGTGGCGACAAATTACATTACATTACATGTCATTTAGCTGACGCTTTTATCCAAAGCGACGTACAATAAGTGCATTTCAACCATAGGATACAAACTCAGGAGAACAAGAAACAAGAAAGTGCAATTTCCTCAAATAAGCCAATTTACAATTTGCTATAGATGAGTGACGTTACAAGTACAATTTAAGTGCTACAATTTGTTAGTCTTTAGTCGAGGTCTGAAGAGGTGTGTCTTTAGTTTGCGGCGGAAGATGTGAAGGCTCTCTGCGGTCCTGGTGTCTTCAGAGAGCTCGTTCCACCATTTCGGCGCAAGGACAGCGAAGAGCCGAGATCTAGTCGAGTGTTTTGCTCTCAGTGAGGGAGGGACGAGTAGTTTTGCAGATGCAGAGCGGAGAGTGCGGGTTGGGATGTCGGGTTTGACCATGTACTGGATGTAAGCTGGACCCGATCCATTCACAGCATGGTACGTGAGCACCAATGTTTTGAACTGGATGCGGGCGGCCACCGGTAGCCAGTGAAGAGAGCGGAGGAGTGGAGTAGTGTGGGAGAATTTCGGAAGGTTGAAGACCAGTCGAGCTGCTGCATTCTGAATGAGCTGCAGAGGTGGAATGGCGGTAGCAGGGAGACTGCCAGGAGGGAGTTGCAGTAGTCCAGGCGTGAGATGACAAGAGCCTGAATCAGTACCTGCGCTGCCTTCTGAGTGAGAAGGGGACGTATTCTCCTGATGTTGTAGAGCGTGTATCTACAGGATCGCGTTGTCGCGGTGATGTTGGGAGTCAGGGAGAGTTTGCTGTCGAGTGTGACGCCGAGGTTCCTAGCGGTTAAAGTGGGCGTTAGTACGGAGTTCCCAAAGTTGACTGTCAGGTCCTGGGTAAGCGAATCTTTTCCGGGAAAGAGAAGTAGTTCAGTCTTGTCGGGGTTGATTTTCAGATGGTGGGCGGACATCCACTGAGAGATGTCAGTTAGACAGGCAGAGATCCGAGCCGCCACCTGGGTGTCCGAGTGAGGGAAATGCACATAACATGTGCAGCAAGTAGCTAGTCTCGTTTGGACCGACCAGCGGTCCATAGCCCAAGAAGTCTCTCATAGCCCAAAGTAACTCGCACATCCAGGCTGCCAAGTGCTTGCTTAGTTCACATTTCTCATACATGAATACATTACATTTGTTAAATAGGCCTCTGTTGAAATGAAATAGTTTGAGTGAGCCAATTTGAATCTTGCTGTTATAAAATGATATCAGGCCGACTGTTTCCCCTGAAAATGTATTTTCCAAGATCATATACACAGAGACACACAAGTGTATTCTGTTGTTGACACAAGCATAAATCTGCTGATGACTCCCACAGCTCATTGTTTTTAGTTCGCCCTGCTTTCATTGCTTTGGCCGCAGATGCGGATCAAACATGAAAGAAAACCTTTTGCTTTGATATTAACTGCATTGGCAGGCAGAATCTTCCGCATAATTGATTTAGTTCAGAAGGCATTCAGGCAGATCTCTCTCTGCGATTTTCTGTTGATACTTGTATTTCTTTCTGTCTGTCTCTGCAGGCCTTATCAGCAGGAATTCAGAACCGCAGCCCGAAGCCCGGCCCGACCGCCCAAGACCTGGAACTGGGCTACTTCCTGGAGACAGGCCTGCAGAGAGCCCACGTCATCCACTTCAAGAACGGGTGAGAAAGGGAAGCAGGTGGTGCCCGATAGATGATCAGATAGACAGAGATTTACCTGTCAATCACTTTAAAAACCGATGTTATGAAGACAATCAGACACGTATTTCAGTATTTACACCCGTTGTGGAAACTCTCTTTGAAAGTGTAGCATGAGATATGAAGAACTTTAGCTTAACAACCTACCTTTTCTGTTACATCTTGCAAAGTGACAAAGGTTTCTATCTGCTAGTCACGCTACTGAATGTTCACCTTTACACTCACACGTAGATAGAAACTTGAAAATGTTTTGGACATGAGTTGGATTATGCACACATCTGTTGTGAGATATCTTCCATTTCACACCTCACACACAGTACAGACTCTAACAAGTGTCCCTCTTCCTGTTTCCTCACTGCATTGCCATAGCAACCTGACACAAGGCGTGGGCCGTTTTCGGGAGATTCTTCGGGCTGTTGAGAACAGAACCACCCAGAGCCTCCGCATGGTGAGGGGTGATGGGTCGGGGGCGTTTTAATTCTGCTCTGAAATGAGTTTTATGGAATAATATGTTTATTTGATTTCTTGTCTGGCTACCTCAGGAAGGGATTAAACAATATACGAAGTAGATATATCGTGTGTTATGTTCTAAATCCTTAGGCTGGCATGAAGAACTTGTAACTTGTAATTAAGTGGTTTTGAACCTGAGTGCAAATGTCCTTCGAGTCCAATTCAAAACCCACCACAAGTCAACTTAACATTTTATTTTGATTGTGTGTGTGTGTTATGAAGCAGTCTGTACAATTTTTATATCATGAATACAACGTTCTTCATTCTAAGTAGACAGATTGCTGCTGTGTTGGTTCCATCATTTCCAAATGTGTTTGTGTGTTTGTGAATGCAGACCATCGCCAGACAGCTTGCAGAGATCTTGCTCAGAGGAATGTGCGAACAGAGTTACTGGTCTCCTCTGGAAGACCCGCCCACCGTGTCGCCATTGGATGATCCCACACGGCAGGGACACACTCACACCAAGAACTACAGCTTAAGCCGACGCCCACGCGTGTACTCGGGAGAGAAGTAAGTGATAATGTGTGTGCGTTGATGCTAAAGTTGGAATACGGTGGGAAAAAAACAACGTCTCTAAAATTAAATTACGTTTTTAAGTTTTCTTTCCTAAATTGTCTTTCCCTTTCTGTGATTGTGACTCCCTCGGTGGATTTCTCTCAGTCTGTTTTGCCCTAAGGAGAACACCGAGGAGGCTCTGCTGCTGCTGCTCATCAGTGAGTCCATGGTAAGCACAAACACCTCTAACGCTGTGGGTCGTCCCCTCGGGCTTGGAAATTGTTCCTTAACCCCCCCGTGTGTCTGTGCGTGCTCAGGCTAACAGGGACGCCGTCCTGAGCAGAATCCCCGAACACAACAACGATCGCATCATCAGCCTGCAGTCTGCGTCGGTGGTGTACGACCTGCTGACTATAGCTCTGGGCAGGAGAGGGCAGTATGAGATGCTGTCAGAGGTTAGTAATCCCTCGGTGGGCTGCAGACCCGCAGGCACAGAACTGGCTACAACCGTAGTATTAAATCACACTTTAATTTATTTCTTCTCACATGTATTTCCCCAAAGAAATGAGTGTGTTTACAATCCAATTTGCTCTAAAATGGCTGTAGAAGAATCACTGGATGAAATGGGTCCCGTGTGTCTAGTGTTTGGAGAGAGCCATGAAGTTTGCCTTTGAGGAGTTCCACTTGTGGTACCAGCTCGCCCTGTCGCTGATGGCAGCTGGGAAATCAGCTCGTGCCGTTAAAGTCCTTAAGGAGTGTATTCGTCTGAAGCCTGACGACCCCACCATCCCGCTGCTGGCTGTCAAGCTGTGCATCGGGCCGCTGCACTGGGTAAGGGAGGAGCGTCCCGCAGACACACGGCGAAGCATCACAGCTGTTAACCCTTCCCTTAAATACCTTTCTGTTTCTAAAACGATATGTTTTGACTCCATTCTTTCTAATTTGATGTCTGTGTACTCCCACTACCCAGTTAGACGAGGGTGAGTGCTTTGGGAAGATTGTGATTGACATGGGGGAGAAAGCAGCGGAGTTCAGAGCCAAAGGCTTCTTGGCCATCGGGCTGGTTTACAGCCTCAAAGCCACCGACGGTAGGTCTTTTCGTTGTGTGTTGCGTCTGTTGTGGAAAGAATGATATTTAAGTACACTGACAGGCATTAGAACTCAGAGGTCAGGTAAAGTGGCCTCAATGTAGGAGATTTGGGAGATTTCCCCGTTTGCTCACCTGAGGGACGAGAACAAAGAAAGCGAGTCACGTATCTCACTTTAAATGAGAAAACAAAGAAGGCACAGCATGCATCCATTTTTGTTTCCTGTTCACTGTATGATGTTTCTCATGAAAACACCGTGTCTCTCCTCCGGTCCCTGCGTCGGTCTCTCTGGAACTCTTCAGCATCATTGCGAAGCACACAGGAGGAGTACCAGAGGAAAGCTTTGGGAGCCTTCCAGAGGTTGGGACTGCGCCATGCCGCCCGCCGCTTCTCTTTTACACCCACATTTCACTCATTTTGCTTTTTCACTGCACTAACTGCTTCTCGGTCCTACAAAATGGAATTCACTATCTTATCAATCCATTACGTTTGCTGGTATTATTTAAATCTTATGTCTGATTGTACCTTGCTGCCCTTTTACGTTTCTGCTTCTGAAGCGACCTGATTCCCACATATGGATCTTTAAAGTCTTATGAAATATATATTTTTTTATTTAGCACATCTGAGCTCGAACGATCTGTCTCTTTCTGCAGAGCTCAGAGTCTATCCCCTACCGACCATCTAGCAGCCTTCTACTTGGCGCTGCAGCTTGCTGTGTCCAGACAGGTAACACAATCTTAAGTAATAACAGCCTGACAAACATGGAGGCCAAACAGAGCGAGTCAGGCTGCATCAGGAAATAAGACACCTGTCACTTGATAAAGGGCTTTTTTTTACCCCGACTCTGGTGAAAACCCGTAGTGTGTGTGTGTGTGTGTGTGTGTGTGTGTGTGAGTGTAGATCCCAGAGGCACTAGGCTATGTACGGCAGGCGTTGCAGCTGCAAGGGGACGATGTCCACTCCCTTCATCTGCTCGCCCTGCTGCTCTCTGCTCAGAAGCACTACCACGACGCCCTCAATATCATAGAGATGGCTCTGTCCGAGTACCCAGAGAACTTCAAGTGAGCTACCACAAGGCTTCATCTAAAGCACACACGAATCGTCTTTATTCCCGCGTGGGGTTTATGTGTGTGTTGCGTGTCGTAGTCTGCTGTATACCAAGGTGAAGCTGGAGTCCATGTGTAGAGGGCCGGAGGAAGCTTTGCTCACCTGCAAACACATGCTGCAGATCTGGAAGAGTTTTTACAACCTCACCAACCCCAGGTACACAAACCAACACACACACCCACTCGCTCTCTTGCATGAGAGGTAATGTGAGATGTAATGTGTGAATCAGTCAAGTGTGTATTCAATCTGCAATTTATAATGTCTACAATTCTATCCGGCCGCGAGAAAATATGATCTCATAATTGTTGAGCTGGTCAACAGGACGCACGCGGCTAATACTTAAAGTCTGAAAACAGATAGAGACAGTGCAGTTTTTGAGTTTCTGTACCCATTTGTGTACAGGTAAGTGTGCAAAAGTAGATATCTCTGTATCAGGAATCAGGAAACATTTATTAGCCAAAATATGTCAAACATACAAGGAATTTGTCTTGGCGGTTAGTGCGCGACAGTAGACAGACAAGACAACAGTGCACAAGTAATAAAATAAAGTGGAATGAAATGCTAATGCAATGGGTTAGTAGAATAAGGCTAAGGCTATGGGTTAGTATAAAACAAGGGAATAACGTTAAAAATTTTAAATATTAAAAAGTTAAAAAGAAAAATATTAAGCATAAGTCCACTAACAAACAAGTAACAGAACAAACAAGTAACAGATAGAGAGAATATGTAATATATTGGTATTGGTGCATAATATGAAGTTGCAACAACAATAATTGACAATTAATTGACAAAATTACAAGCCTCACATAAATAAAATTATAAATAAAAAAATACACTTTATTTGTTTTATTTTCTTTAAAATAGAGCGTATTAAAGTTAAAGATTAACAATACTTTTTGAAGGTAGGTTTCATAACAGCGAATCTCAAAATAGGAACTGGTTTGTGTGCTTCAACCCTCTTCGATGCAGTGATGAGTAAATCTCCGCTTTGTAACCACCTGACAGAGCTGCTGCTGTTTGAAGAAAGTGGATGTACTCATGTTTGTTTTTGTGCCAGTGATTCTGGGCGGGGCAGCAGTCTGTTGGACCGAGCCATGGCAGACAGACGACAGCTCAACGCCATGACTCTGCCCGACTTCAGCGACCCAGACACGGGTAGGCGCACACACACACACACACATTCACTCCTATTGAGAACCTCCCCAGTGAATCTAATCCAATTGTGCTGATTAATTTTCAGTGATCTAATAGTGACCATATTTCTGTTTTTGTACAGTTATCAATTATGATTTGATTTTGGAAATTGCATCAAGGGGGAGATGTGGCTCCAGTTTCTTGTTTTTGTATTGAAACATTCTACCTCATTTCAAGGGAAAACATTTTCCAAACTCCAATTCTGCATCTGGCTCATTCTTTTCTTCTTATTCCTTTTTGGTTATCAGTTACTATGTGTCACAAAAATGATGAACTTTCCAATGTGAGAGAATTTAAGCGCGTGCAGATTGACAACCACTGACCTGTAGGATTTCCCTTTCTTTATTGCTGGATTAATTTAACCATCTTTCTGTTTTATTACCTTTTTTTTACAGTCTCAGGTTCTTCCACGTCTCACTCTGGTTCTGAACCGGTCTCCCCCACCTCCCCATCCACCATCTCCACCCTCTCCTCCCCACTGTCCTCCCCTGCCTCTCCTGTCTTCATCTTCCAGCCGCCTCCTCTTCCTCCACCCAAAAACCCATCCTTCCTCCCTCCTCTTCCTCCGCGTCCTCCTGCACCCACTAGGACTCAGTCCTTTTGCAACCACGTCTGTCTCCGACAGCTCTCCTCCAATTGTAATCCGCCTCCACGTGCACTTGGCCTGTAGCATGGTGTGAAGAGTGACCTTTGGGCGATTTGCTTATCGATTGACGTGTGTTTATTAATGAGAGCGTTTTCAGTGTGTTTTGCTAATGGAGCTCGTGTTAGATGTCTTTGTAAGTAATGTATTGCGTTATTATATGTTAACATTTAGATTCATTCTTTCACTACACTAACTAGAGAAATATCACACAAGCAAATCTTAATACCATACATTGATTGGTAGGTCGTGTTTCTGATATTCTGATATATTTGTTATCTGTATATTGTTACCAAGGCGGTGCAGTTTGTCCAGATCACAGAGGAACAGATGAGGCAGAATTCTCCTTACCAATTATCCACAGAGCATCGGCTTCATTTGAGAGAGCGAGCCCCCCACTGATGGGACTCCCCTTACTCTCCCTGAGACCGTAGACCAGGGGAACCTGGAGTTTGACCTGTTTGACACTTACGGAAGGCTGCTTGTGCTTCTGTGTCACACGTCATCTGTCAGACCTGCCGTGAAGCTAACGCGTAAAAATAAGTCTTTGGCTGTGGGAGTGGAGTTGCACCTCGATGGATCTGCTGCAGTCGCTTTGTGTGTGTGTTTTTTCTTTTTGCTTCTCTCAGGTGACTCACACACGCGCAGTTGACACATGTAGGATTTTGAGATCAGTGGGGTTCTTTTTTTAAGCTTTTGAAAATGAGTTTTTCATATTGCAGCTTTACGGTCTCTTCGCATCTCTCTATCTGCTTTCACCTGCTCTCTTGTTTTTGCATCTTCCTCCTTTCTCTATCTGGGTTTCTGTGAGGATTATACATTTGAACCGACATGAATTGCCTGGCTCCTCGGTTCCTCCCCTATGCTGCCTCTCCTTGTAGCCTTCTCCTCCACTAATGAGGTTTGCTCTGGAAAATGCTGGTTGTTATTCCGTTAAATCATTTATCTGCATAGAAGAGTCATTTTTCTCAATTATCCATAGAACAATTAGATGATTTAAAACCATGGCGATAAGGCAATCACGTCCCGAATTTCCATCCCAATGAAGAATAAAAGTAATGTTACTCTGAGCTGCCTTGTTTTGAACACAACAAAAAAGCTCTGTGAGTAATTAAGCTGAAAAAGATGAGCCCTTCTCACAGTATTAGTTCATTGCACATTATTACCATTACTAGTTTTTTGAACCCATTAGTTCATAAAGTGTGGAAGCCGCTTGTCTGGTGTTATGTGGTCTAAACGCTGCTGTGACGGATGAAAACCTCCTCATCAGGCTCGACTCTTTCTGGAGTCAGAGTTCTCTCTTTTTTTCTTTTTTACTCGTAATAATTCTGATATTTTTCTGTCTCGACCTTTCTTGCAATCATTAATGATTGTCCTTCTGTTTTTTTTCCATCCCTCCGTTGTTTTCAAGGCGGTCTTCAGGACGCTAACACTCTTGGTTTTTCCTCCATGTTTTCTGTTTGTAAGTAGCCATCTAACCTCCATCTAACCTCTCTTTTTTCTGTTGTTCGATCTGTCTTTTGGTCCTGACGAGGTACTGACATGTGTACGATATCTGCAGAAAGGAAACATGTACATGCCTCCTCTGCTTTCATTTCATGTCTGCAGCCAGTTTCCAGGAAATTTATGCTGAATTCCTATCAAATTGGCGCCTTATGACAATACACGATGTCATAAGGCTTTTAGTTTTTGTTGTTTCTGACTTCCTGACTATAGTCATTTACACTTAAAGATTCTTTGAGAGCACACCAAAGCAAAATAAACAACGAACGCAAAATGAAAATCCCAACAAGAAGCACCTGGCCAAATTATTCTTAAATCCTACTTTTTTTTTTCAGAAAAAGTATAACCAGAACTTTTTCTGACTCGCCCCTCAGGGTTTCTATAGTGCCGGTATTTTCCTTCTAAATATCCAATCGACACATTGTCTTAAGGATTAGGGGCACAAATAGCATGAGTGAAAGCAATCCATACGCTAACAGACACCAACTCTTTCACCGCTTTCATCACTGCGTGGAAAGCACTGCGTGTGCCTCACAGACGCCCAAAAGAAACCTGTCGGAGGCATCGACTTCACGGTGCATGATTAAAACAAACGGACTGGATAAATGAGGAAATTGATTTAAAAAATGTGCAGTGCGTTGTTTTTTTTTAACTAGAGTAGATTGTTAGTTACAAATATTTGTCAGGAATGTTTGTTTACACAATCGCTATGTAAGTTATTTGGGATTTCATCAATATGAGTTTAACGAAGGCAACAATACTTGTTTTGTTTCCACGTACTGTTTGAATGTTCTGAACTAGTCTGTGCTGCTGCATGCTGCCATTTAACAACTAATTCTTCCAAAAAGCCCTTTAAATCAGCTCAAACCAGCTCAACTTTAAATATATTACAAATTTGATATTCAAATCATATTTTTATTTTTCACACTTTTACAAATGGGTGGTTCCTCGCCTTTTATTCAGAAATACACATTTCATATCAACGTGGGTTAAAGCAGTATTTTGGAATTTAGAATCCATATAGGCTATAATAGTATTATGGGCGACTGTGGGTGAGGGGGGGAGCACGGTCGTCCTCCAATCAGACGGTTGTCGGTTTGATTCCAGGCTCTGCTAACCCGCATGTCGATGTGTCCTTGGGCAAGACACTTAACCCAACATTGCTACTGTAGCTGTGTGAATGTTTGTTACTGATGGCAGGTGTCACTGTGTGTGGTTCTCCTGTCATCAGTGTATGAATGGGTGTGAATGATGTCATGTAGTGTTAAAGCGCTTTGAGTGGTCAGAAGACTAGAAAAGCGCTATACAAGTACAGTCCATTTACCATATTAGTATTATTATGTCACACAGAACCGATCACAATGGATTAAGTTATCATTGTTTAGACAATATTTATCAGCTTAACGTGACATGTTATTTCAAATTATGCCTGAAAACATGGAAAGAACAGCTAAAGGTTTCTAGAGGTTTTGAGTCGGCTGTAACTGAGTTACTCTGGAGGGATCGTGTACACGTAAGTAGACGATGGGGGATGAGGGGCATTTAAAAAACGGACATGTATGTTTCATGTTACATTAGAAAGATATGACAATGGCTTGGAGGCAGACATCATATCATGGTTCACGCTCACACATCTGCAATGCTCATCTGCGGCCCCATTCGGACCCAATAATCTGATGCAATTGATACGCACTTCTTTCATTTACTGATCCACAGAGTGCAGATTGACGCGGTGTTCACGCATGCATTCATTCCCACCTGGTTGAGCTCATAACACGGTGTATTTCAGCCTGTGGAATGTGTGGACTGATTTAAGGGCTTTAGGCAGGAACAGCAGCGTGATGCCAATGCAGGCCGTCACTATTGGGCGTTTAACTTCACCCAAACACTCCAGATTTCACTGGTACTCTCCTCTTTTCTGTCGGCGGGGGCGTGAAATCCGTGTGTTTGGCTGAATTGAAATGCCGCGCTGTAGCACACGGCTGCTTCACATTAGTGCAGTAGTTAGTCGGTATCTCCAGGAGACGTGTGTAATGGTTTGATTCCCCCTCCAGGCTCGGTTCATGCCACATCCATAGCAGCCAGCCGCGTGGAGCAGGCCCTGTCGGAGGTAGCCTCCTCCCTGCAGAGCAGTGCCCCCAAACACGGACCCATGCACCCCTGGATGACCCTGGCTCAGATCTGGCTGCACGCAGGTATGCACACGTACATACATGCCGCATACGTGTGAGAGTAACATAAAGCACTGGGCTGTGGTTTTGCTTCATTTAAAGGGGGTCTCGTGGTAAAAAAAAAAAAGGAAGAGGATCAGCTTTTCTGATTTTCTGAAGATGAAGAAGTCCCAGCAAAGATGCTGGGACTTAAAAAAGGAGAAAACATTTCCGGTTGAGGTCAGATCGATTAGTGTCGCCTAGTTCTGCCCAGAGGAGTCAGAAAGAAAACCTTTCCAGTGTATTAGTATTAAGTATATTTCTTACACTTGGAGTAATAGACTACTCTCTACTCCACCACGTATGGCGCGCTACATACGTTATCGTCCTCCTAGCATCAAGAACATGCCGTGTATAACAGCAGATTAGACTTGCTCTCATTTCTGCATCCCCAGCAGACACAAACATAAGCAGACTGAAGAGTGCACATAAACATGTAGACAGAGAGCGCACACACACACACACACACACACACACACACACACACACAGCTGCTTGTGCTTCCATTTATCTGTCCAGCTGCTGCATGTCAGAGGTGGTCATTTCCAGCTTCACGACTGCGCTAATATAATCATTCAATCACAGGACAGACAAGCAGACGGTTCAAACTCATTTCCCCTGTTTCTCTCTCTCTATACACATTAGATGACCTTGATACTGGAGTGTTTTTCATTTTGTTGTTAGAGGGAGAAAACTTGAGGGCTGCTTTTTCTCTCACATGTTCTGCTTCCCTCTTTAGCAAAATGGAATGATTTCACCCTCAATACATTTTGCTTTCTGCTCGACGCTCATTGTTTGAACAAATCATTTTCATTTGCAAGGTATACGATGTTTCTTGGGAAACGGCAGCATGGTCCTCGTACAAAACAGCGACAGCTAGCGACCGTTGTCTTCATTGACTATGTACGATACGTGATATGCAAAGTGTACTAGTCACACAGTTACATGCTCTACTCCTCCAGCCGAGGTGTACACCGGCATGTCGAAGCCTGCAGAGGCCTCGGCCTGCACGCAGGAAGCCTCCAACCTCTTCCCCACGTCCCATAACGTGCTGTACATGAGGGGGCAGGTCGCTGAACTAAGGGGCAACGTAGACGAGGCCAAACGCTGGTATGAAGAAGCCCTGTCCATCAACCCGACGCACGTCAAGACCATGCAGAGACTGGTAAACACACACACACACACACACACACACCGGGCAGCTTGAGACATGAATAAACGTCAGTATCAGCATGGATATGAGGGCGCATGCGCTTAATGCACATTCTGCATAGAAAGAGAGAGAAAATAGTGTCTCTGTTCTCTTCTCTCGCTCTCTTCTTCCTATTGGCTGAGTCCCAGTTGGAGTCAGTCACATCCACTTGGAGGTGTGTGTGTGTGTGTCCCCCCCTCCCCCATCAAGGGCCGTTCAACAATGGTTATGGTTCATGGAACATTCTCAGAGAGCCTTTTGTCTCAGCGGTGACTTGCTATGCTCCATTTTCCCTAAATGGAATTAACTAAATAATGTGTTACTGTCATACATATATTTTCAAACAATTCTTTAAACTCAAACGTTTAAAGTCACACAAAGCACTCTGTGCTTTATTTCCACAGCAAAATTCATAAATCCCTCATAAGTGAGACATCAGAAAATGTACTACATAAATAGTTAACTTCCTTTTTTTTCGCCCAGGCATTTGAGAGAACATTGAACACCACCAAGTTTGTACAATCGAGAGGAAAGAAGAGCCACTATCTACTTCACAGGGACTCATTTCTCTAGCTGATTATTCTAGAATGTGAGGAGGAATACCAGCGTTGAAATGCGCCTGCAGAGATGTAACGTACCGTTCAGGGCGGCACTTTTGTTGAATACACATATATGTTGTTACATTTGGTCAAACGTGAATCAAAGCCTACTTTTAATGGAAGAATGGAGGAAACCCATGTTTAGTCTGCTGTGTGGGGAAGCTGATGAGCGGGAGAGGTGTGTGTGTGTTTCTGCATGGTGGTGTGTCAGCGGGAGGAGGCTGTGCGTCCCACAGTTTACCCGGCGGAGGGGAGGGAGCGTGTAGGACCTGTTCATTTGCTGCCCCATGGTCACATATTGCTCGGTGACTTGTCAGTGATTAACCTTCTACAATAAAAGTGGTGCCACCAGAATTAGCAGCACCGGCGTCTGCGTTCAAATGCGCAGCGGTAACATTCTCCCTCCACCCTCCTTGTTCCTCCTCTTTCCTCCTCCCTTCTCTCTGTACCACTCGACAGGGTCTGATTCTTCACCAGCTGCAGCGCTACAGTCTGTCAGAAAAGGTCCTGAGGGACGCTGTGCAGGTCAACAGGTGTGTGTGCGCAATGTACCTGATTGTCATATCTTAGCACACATATTCTTAGTGGGGAATATATTTTCCTCATTTCCATTTTTTTCTCCTCCTATTGATTTCTCTTCTCCTTCCTATTGTCCTTCTCCCGTATCTTCTCTCTCCCATCACCCTGCTTCATACGATCTCCTCCCCCCTCTTCTCTCCTTCTCTCCTGCCTCCTCAGCACGGCTCATGACGTGTGGAACAGCCTCGGCGAGGTGCTGCAGGCTCAGGGAAACGCTGCCGCTGCCACCGAGTGTTTCCTCACTGCCTTGGAGCTGGAGGCCAGCAGCCCCATTCTGCCCTTCACCATCATACCCAGAGCGCTATGAAACACACACACACACACACACACACACACACACACCTCCTTCACAGCTGTAGCCTCAGTACTTTAACACAGTGGCACATGTGACGGATCTACACTACACACACCTGCCGTACCACTACTGTAAATACACACACACACACACTGAGAAGCTTCCCCTTAGTCCACCCATCCTTCCCACTTTCTGTGGCTGTGTGTGTGTGTGTGTGAGTGTGTGGCTGTGTGTGTGTGTGTGTGTATGTCGCCCATTTCTCTGTATGTGTGCGTGTGCCAACATGTTGCCTGTGCGTCTCTGTCTGGCCGTACTTGACTTGTAGTGTGTTTCTGTTCATGACTGTTTGAAGATGTAAATAAGGTCAAAGGAGTTGAGAATTCAGAAGCCTGAGAGTTTACATTTTGTTTACATGTTATTTAGTCCATTAGAGTTTCCTTTACGAGCCAAATGTTACTGATAATCCCAACACACAAACACACACGCTCTGTGTTTATGCAAAGAGGCTCGCGGTTACTTTTTGGCTCGGTCTCTGCCTGAGAGACCCGATCAACAAAGACTGTCAAGTTGAAATGCCAGAAAACACACAGCAGATCAGATTTAGAGCCGCTGATGTTCAAAGGACGGCTGCATATTTGTAAATAAAGCATGTTCTCTCTCATGAACGGCCCTTACATGCTATTTTTGTTCTATTTTCTGTCTATTAACATGACATTCTACGATTTTACATTCCATTTGACGAAAGGAGTAATTCAACACGTTGAAAAATGTAAATCTCGTGATTTGGGAGTGGAATTAACTGTTCAATGTGAATCTTTGCAGAGTGAGCATATTGCTGTAAAACAAATCCCGTCTTTGAATGAATACATGCTTTTGATCTGTTGGGGACAGCTGATTAGTTTTTTGCATGATCAGCGGTAGTTCCGATAGATGAAGTCAAACAGAAGATCCTGCTGCTGGTAACCAGCTAAACTTCTAACCAATTGGAATAAAAAACTCCCATGTGCCATATAAATATGTGTTAACCAATTGTAATTAATAATGGAATTTGCTCCACACATGCTCTTTAAAATCAATTGATTCTATGTGTAAATGCAACCAGTGAGTGTGTTGTCTTTATGTTCCGCCCCACTTATGTTAAATACAACTAGATGAATATACTTTTTTTTTTCTCCAATTAATTATAAATACAAAGGATTGCTGTTGTATATTTGATTGTTCCAATGTATTATTAATGCTATGGTTTTGAAAAGTAAATTATAATTCTATTTTCTTGAAAGAGATGTTACTGAGAAGCATTTAGAGGAAATAAAAGGATGAAGTGATGCGTCTGTTGTGTGAGCTCAGTTCTGTGCAGTTAAAGAACGTTCAGCAGGACAGAGACAATAAAAGTGGTTAAAACCTCGGGGGCGACTTTGTGCCTTGAATTGTCATAATATAGTATCTCAAACAATGAAGCATATTTAGGTTGTTTTATAACTTGTTCTGACGGTGATTAATATATTTGAGCACATCTCTGATTACATATATACTGAAAATCTTGCTGATATTTTTTTTTGCAGGTCCAATGTTAACAGTGGGAAAAGCATTTAGTAAAAAGTCCTATTCTTAACACCATTATTACTGAACGTGTCTAAAAGATTAAACCAAATTTCATAGTATTTAGATGGATCAAAAAACGCCATTTTGTGGTATGTCAAAAAAAGATCAGATGGGGTGTGTCTGCTGCAAAGGGTTAATCGGGCCACCTGTGTGGCGTCGCTCTCGCTGCGACCTCGGTGTGTGTTACTCCCCCCGGTGTGCGTCTGTCACTGCGTCGGTGTGTCCTCTTTGTGTGTTTTTATATAAAAGGATTACAACGCTGACAGGCTTTGTCCCAGAGTGTCAGGAAGGCGCCGTCCACCTTCAGGTTCTCAGGTGACACTAACTCACTAACTGCGGGTCCCCTGGAAGGTCACGACCTCGGCCCTCAGGCATCACTCCGTACACTTACAAGTGCGATGAACATATCGGCGCCGTCATCAGACTACGTGGCGCCATCTTAACACCCCCTGCGGCACATGTACTCTGCACTTTGTATATTTGACTATAGTTACTGCTGACACTTGTTTACTTTTACTTTTGTCCAAAGTAAACGGGCCGTACTTTGTAAAATGAAGCTTGGTGAATTTCATGAATGGCCATTCCAGACAGAAAAGGACAAAGAACTAATGACATGAACCAAATATTTGCGCCATACAGAGACGTCCAACACTGAAATACACGCACCCCCCTCACCCGCCTCCCGTCAGGTGAGAAGCTGAAATATTGATGTGGTTGGAAGCTGCAGCCAGCAGAGGGATTTTGTATGTATGTGTGTGAGAAACAGGCTTTTTCTAAATGTGTGTGAGATTAATGTCAGAATCCTCTGAACTGGAGACGCTGAAAACGTTTGAGTGGCGGCTGGCAAACAGCAAGATATAGTACCTCACTCTTTACAGACTGAGCCACCAACTGTGTGGCTCAGTCTTCGTTTCTACGCGTGTCTGCATCATCAGAATCCTCAGCTGCAGCGGATTTATTCTAGGAAGTAGCATCTGTACAAACAGCGTATTATCCTTCTTGTTGACATCGCTCTGCGCTCTTCTTTGTGCGACTGTAAAACAACTTCCGCTGGCTTCATTTGCTGAAGAGACGACAGCAGCTTTGGAATCAGAGTGGGGTGGAGAGGATTTTAGGAGATTCAATGGGTTTTAAGATGCATTTTGAATTGGTCTCTTTTCAACCCTTGTTCTAGTCTCCCGCAAGTCCTGGATTTCTATAATTGTCTTTCGACCCCCCCTCCCCCTCCTCCTCCACCACCTCCTCCTCCCTACCCACACTTGTCTATCTTGCGCTCTCCTCAAACTCCAGCTTTAGTTTTCGGCTTCCTCTCCTTCATTTCTCACCACCACATGCCTGGCTGTTGCCTAGCAACGCTTCATTTGCAGACAAGACGTTTTCAGCGATCTGAAGGAGTCCTTGTGACCCCCCTCCTTACATACATACACCAATTGTACCAATAGACTGCTGGGGACATGATGGTGTGTCCTCATAGTTTAATAGTCCCGTGTTTTAGAAATCATCCTCCCATAAAAGGTGTGATATTATGGGACATTGTACTTTATCTGTGGTGAAGATACATAAAGCAACTATGTTTAAATACATGGAAGAGGTCGGTTCAGGATTTACCTAAAATTCCCATCTATTCTTTCAAAGAACAGACCAATACTTAGCTGCTATGCAGATACTCACGTCGTATGTTTGTTCCTGATCTTCTCATAACTGCCCATTTAAATTTAGGAATGTAAAAGGTTGAACAATTCTCCCAAAAATACGCTTTAAGTGGGCCTCAATGTCTGTGCTTCCACTTCCACACTCTCGCAAAGACACGGCGAGCAATAAGAAGCACAGATGAGTCATTCTGAAGCAGCACTTCCCCCACAGAATCTGCCTTCACTGAGAAAACACAACCCAGCACGAGATGTTACTTAATGATTATTTTATTGGAAAAACGAAATGTAAAGACTAGCATGTACAACTTGGAATGCAGATCAACTGAACGGAACAGTTTGACTGGGCCGGGCCTCGCCGCACCCACACGCACACACTCACACAAAAACACAAGATAGAAATGCCACAAAGCACCGACCCCGTCCCCACTAAACTGAATTTAACACCCCGAAGAATCATGATACAAGTGCAACCTTTGAGGCGATGTTCGGTCCCCTACGCATGCTTCAGTGACCACCACATTGTCCCAAAGGTCATCTTGTATATCATCACTTTTAAAGCCCACCCCAACCCCTCTAATAGTCTGTGAAACATCAAACGGGCTCAAATCTATGCCCCACCCAAGTTTCCCCCTCAAAAAAAATGGTAAAACACACAAAAGGATAGAGTATCCTGACATGCCAGAAAAACTGAATCTAAAATGAGTTCTCCCATTTTAAAATGTTCTTAAAAATATCTCTCATCACGGACTTTGTTTAGGGAGGCAAACTGCAACGGTTCTACTGGTTCACTGCCTCCAATCCATCGGTTAACTATCCCCTCCCTGCTCTCTGTGGGTCCCAGGCCAACCTACGGCGACAGCCTTCTGCCATTGGGCTCTTAACCCATCTAAAGCTGCATGCATAAAGAACAGAAAAAAAGGAAACAGGAAGTCATAGAAGAAAGGCCATTGGCTCTCCCATATAATCACCAGGAAATCAGGCAGATGGAGCCAGGAAGCAGAGGCCAAACCAGCCGGCTGCAGAGAGGCTGCTTGGCTGAAAAGGTTGAGATCTGATTGGGTAGCTCAGCGCTGGGGGCGGGAAATACAAGCCAGTACATGCAGAGACCCATTTAGAATTTTTTGTTGTCTTTTTTTCTCTTTTTTTTTAAACCCTTTTTGAGCTTGTGAATATGGACATATTTTTAGGTTTTCCAACATTCAGTCTATACAGAACAGTATGAATAAATGTAGATTTTTGCAATAAGAGGTAAGTGAAACATTTGACTGATTCTTTGTCTTTAACATGAGCCCAGTTCATTTGGCAGTCATCATCTGAACAAATTCTGTGGGGAGAAACAAAGGACAAGAAAACTCATCAGCAACAATGTTAACAGGGTGAATAAATAATGATTGATCAGTTTAAGGAACCGCCATTGGACACACAACTTTATCAGCGCAGAGTGCAAAATACTGTTCAAAAATTACTTTGACGCTTAAGATCCCTTAAAAATGATTTCTCAATAAAAAGTTGTCTTTTTAAACGATTCTAGCTGTATGCATTATTCAAACTGAAAAACATTTATTCACAAATGTGAATCCCAATAAATGTTATATAATAAGTGGCAAATGGTCGGCAATGCAAATTTTGTGTTTAGAAAAGCTAAAATCACCCAGTAAACCCTGAAAAGCTTATTGTTAACAACGTTAGCTGGTTGAGTATCTCACACGCTGTGAACTTGTACACAAATATACTTGTACAGGTAGGAGTGACTCGACAATCCGGTACCTTCATAGTTGACCTGACCGTCTCCATCGATGTCTGCTTCTCTGATCATCTCGTCAACTTCCTCATCTGTCAGCTTCTCTCCCAGGTTAGTCATCACATGACGCAGCTCCGCTGCGCTGATGTAACCGTTGCCATCCTGACACACACATAATTCCAAAATGAGTGAAAGAATAAGCAGAAACAGGCCGTTGGACGAAGGTTCAACACAAACTGACAGGTTGCACATTTCTGCAACTGGCTGAGATATGGCATCATAACCATAATGCTTATAAAAAGATATTTAATAGTTTTTATTTCTAGACCAAATGTCCCACCAATTCTGACAGAGCAGCATTACAATTAATCAGCAGCTGTCAATGGAGACGATGTTTATAAAGTATCACTGTCAGAGCGAGTCCCTCCTTAGTTGTCAGCTGAAGCACATTCTGATCCCTGATGGAGGGGCTTTGTAAATCAATGCTAATCTGCTGATGACAAGAATGCTATACATCTAAGAACCCATTACTGTCGACACAGAACGAACACACACACACACACACACCTTATCGAAGACCCTGAATGCCTCCCGAATCTCCTCCTCACTGTCAGTGTCCTTCATCTTCCTTGCCATCATCGTCAGGAACTCAGGGAAGTCGATGGTACCATTGCCTGGTGGTGACAGAAAGAAGGTCAAAATTCAGAACTCAACCAGCAAATATAAATTAAGGTAGAAAAATGTGACAGGAGCAAAAGATGTTCCAAAAGATCTCCTCAGTTTCAGACAGTTCAGTCAGCGTACCGTCTGCGTCCACCTCATTGATCATGTCCTGGAGTTCGGCCTCAGTTGGATTTTGACCCAGGGACCTCATGACGGTGCCCAGCTCCTTAGTGGTGATGGTGCCATCGCCGTCCTTATCGAACAGGGAGAAGGCCTCCTTGAACTCTGTCACAAGCAACAAAGACATACAGGACGAGGAGGATACATCAGTGAGAGCAGCTGTAAAGAAGCAGATGCTCCAGTGAGGCCTGAATGAATATGCATTTATCGTAATAATCTGATCTCATGTTGTCCTCTTACCTGCAATCTGCTCTTCTGTTAGTTGATCAGCCTAAATGTAAAAAAAATAAAGACAAAACATTGGGAAAGATTAAAAAGCTGGAACACTGGTTGTGAGGCAAATAGCGAAAGGATTTCTTCAACCAACCCGGCCATCACGGCAAGGTTACTTCCATTAAAACACCCATCGTCGTCATCATCGGCGCAACAGCCATAATCATAATTCAAGAAACCTGTACGAACTGCCTGCAAGACACCAAAATAATGAACTCCCTTGAAACCCACAGGTATCCCATATGAACCACAGAAACCTGCTCTGGTATTTCAAACATTGATATACAGTCACAATAATACACCATCCTAGTGACATGGCTGGTTTCCCTTTGTGTACAACCTTGATGTCATCAAAGTGGATATCTGTGAGGTCTGCCACCAGCTTCAAAGCTTTTGGTGCCGTTTTTTTGCCCTCTCCACATCTTCCTCCTCCTTTCAGGTCCACGGGTCGCCCTCCGAACCCTCTCCCAGTTACTGCGGCTTTGGAGAGGTTGCCATCCAGCTCCCCTCGCACCGTCACCAGGCCTTCAGCCAGCATCTCGGCCCGTTTGCTGTTGTGGACACCCTGTTTCTTAACCTCGGCCAGCTCAGCCTTGGTTCCATGCAGGCAGTTTCTCAGGTCCTGCATCTCTCTAACCAGGCTGTCGGTGCGGCTGGATGCCGTATCCATCAGCATCTGCAGGAAGGCTCTGTAGTTCCTCTCCTGCTGCTGGAGGAGCTCCGTGTAATAGTCCTGTTGTTCATCCAAGAGGTCATAGACTGTGGAGAGGCTGACCAGCTCATCTTCTGGTGGGTAAAGGGCAACGTTCTTAGGCAGCATGCCGAGGGAGGGATAACATGAAGGGCAGAAATGATGTCTCAGGGTGGGAGGAAATAAATAATGGCTAGACATCTATCAGTTGCTCCCAAATGTGTATTGGATAGACGGGAAAAAAAGATGCATTTTTTGATCCCGCTGAATAGTTACATAACTAAAGTTTAGATTTTTTTTAAAGAGTTTTTAGTCCTCCTGGATAAGACGGCGGCCAGGCGGACACATGAACGGCGAGCAGGATAACTGCAGGACTCGTCTTTCAATCCATCCAGTGGGAGTGGCTGGCTGGATGACTCAATCCCTCTGCAGTGGCAAAGGTCAGTGTGCTGGCACCGACCTGACAGGCGAGGTCGCTCCCATGAGCAGATGGAAAAGATGGTCTGTTGCTGCTTTCCTGGTTACTCGTCCATCCGTCTCTCAATAAAGCTGATGGCTTAACTGTCCATCTTTCTTTATGTCCTTGTGTCTTGCAGCGCTGTGAGTGTACGTGACCATACGCTGTCCTTCCCTGACTGCCTCCGACGCCAACTGGTTGAGGAGCTGGAGAACCGCAGTGCCTTTACCGCCACCTCAGAGGAGGGAGAGTGTGTGTGTGTGTGCGCCTAGGCATGACAGTGAAGGCTTGGCTGTCCATTAATCTCCCCAGCAGATGAACAGAAAAGATGGATGTACAGATGAAGTGTCCACCTCCTGCAGTAGTTCATAAATGAACAGCATTCAACACTTTGTCAGGGAATTCGTGTGTGTGTAGAGGCCAGTCCAGAGGAGGTCAACCAAATGTGTGAGGGAATTGACTTCAGGTGGGTGTGAGAGTAACAGAGCCCAGACTGGGGAGGTCCCAGGGGGGTTGTGTGTCCATATGCATGTGCTAAACTGAGCTGTCATCTCACTGCTACAGTTGCAGCTCCGAGGGAGGATCAGTTGGCTGGTCCTCGGACCTCCTGGGGAGCATCACGGGTCACACGGGTGGGGCCCCTCACAACTACGATAGCTTGAGTGAGCGACTCACTAATTACCCAGGAGTTGGCCATGAGCACTGGGTTTTAGTTTGTTTGAGTAAATGAGCAAAGAATGGTAAACTGTCAATGTAAATACAAGAATCTGCAGAATTGACTGCCCTTTCGATCGTGCTGATGGTGATTTGTTTTCTATCCCTCTTCCCATAAGCCATGAGTAATATGATTTTCAATTTCATGTAAACAATGAGTTATATTATGTATTATTTTTGATCTACTGGACTCATTTTCATGTGTTGAAGCAGTCTCCCATTAGGGACAGAGACGGGACATTTCATAATGATGAAAAAAAAAACAGACACGGTTTTATGTACGAGAGGTAATAAATATTAGCCGTTCAGAATTTGGCGGATGATAGCGGTACGGATTGGTGTCGATGGATGTGCCCGCACTCTAGCGGTGGTTAATGAGCTGCTGAAGCCTCTTAATACGCAGGCCAAATTCCTCTCGAGGCGCTGCTACTACTGTGCGTGTGCAGCATGCAGGCCCAGTGATTCACTCCTAAAGCATTCATCAAGAAGAAATCAAAGGGAAAATAGATCAAAGTGTTTTATTTAAAGAATATCAGTATTTACCAGCAAGTTTCAAATGTGGTCATTATTATATAAAATTGTTTTGGGTAAATAATGCTGCATACAAGAACGCAGCAATGTATATTTAATGCCACTTCAAAAAGGGTTGACCATGAATATATTTATTTCACACGGACTGCAGTAGGAGGCACCAAAGGAGGTTTTCTGCCTTCAAGGAGTCCCACAAATAGGCAAAGAAACCGTGACAATGTAACGGAGACGTCTGTATCCCAGTGACTGTTTCTTGGAACAAATTAATAGTTACCACCACCATAAAGCAGTCACGCAACCGTGCTGACGGCTTCAATGGGAAGCTACGGAAATAATTACGCCAGCAGCCACAAAGCTATTCTCACTACTCAAAACAAGTCAGACTACTGGTCAATCACTGATAAACTAGAATTCACACAATAAGATAGCAACAATAAATCATTAACCAATTAACAAACGTGTGTGTATAATTTTTATATATATATATATATATATATACACACACACACACACACACACACACACAGTTGAGTTAACCAAGAGTCACAGGGTGCAACTCTTGGAATTATCTTTCCCAAGTAGTGTCAAGGTGCGATTGCCTCAAATAGGTCAGGAAATGAGTTGGATTTGCTGAGTCTACCTACTGACACGCACAGTTTTTTAATTTGAAGGCAAATGAGCCAATATGACAGAAAGACACACACACACACACACACACACACACACACACACACACACACACACACACACACACACACACACACACACCACTGTGTTAGTCAAAAGACACAAACAAAATTGACTAAAAAGATAAGTGATGGGTTGCTCAGGACTAGTTGACCAACCTGCACAATCAAAGAGCAGAGTCAACGTGTTCAGCAGATTACATCCGTCAACCACACTTTGTGTGCATTAAAGTCGTAAACGTTGCTTAACGAAAGGCTGCAGCAAACTACAAAACCAGATTGGACCACAGCAGCATGACTGCGTGTAAGCACTATTTTGAGAATAAAACGAAGATGTCATCGTGCTTTTAAAGCACAGATCGGTAGGCAGTAAACGATATTTAATTCGATCCCCATAAGAAGCGAATCAGCGAATGTGAAACCCGGTAAACCCGCCGCCACCGCGGGGCTCAAATAATGGTTTAATCTGCGTCCATCGTACAGGTGGTAATTCAGCGCGCGCGGTGACCTAATTAGGACTCCTTAATGGAAACCGGTATAAAACATGTGTGAGAAGAGACACAAAAAAAATAATTCGCCGGCATCATTGAGGAAACAAACTAAGGCAACCATCAGTCTAGCCTCCAAACGGCATCGGCTGCGTTGGTCGAGTGATGGTGCAGTTGTCAAGATACCGCAGAACCAGCACCGCGGATGTAACGTTAACTTTAGCTGTGATGCTAACATCGGCAGCCGACAGAACCGCTGTAACTACCGCCAATGTGTGCCCGCCCCCCGTAGCAAGGAGGGACCCTTCAGTGCGGAATACAAACAGCGACCCTGGAGAGTTCAACTGAGGGAATGAGCTTAAGCCACCGCGATGTGATAAGCTTCCCCGCCTAGCCGCTAGAGTGTTATCAGCTCATTAGCTCATGTTAGCTTACGTTAGCTAACTTCGCTCCGCAGCGGAGGCTGCTTGATATTCCTCCAGCGAAACGACTATCCCGGAGACGGTGATTAGCGCCCGGCTGGCATTCAGTTAACTCAACGCTGCCTCAAGTCCGACATATCACACGCCCATAGCCGATCAGATACTCACCATGTCTGCTTGAGTCGGGGACGTTGGTCTGCTAATGCTACAGGGAGAGAGGAAATGGAAGGTTGCCACTGAGCAAGGCTCGCTGGAGGCGGGCGGGGGAGGCGAACCACTGCTTTACGACTCACTGTATTCCTCCGCACTCGGGAAAAACTCTCGATCGGTGTGGCGCCCTGTCTTTTTCTTTCCTGCTAACATGCGCGTACCCGTCGCCGTGGTGTCGTGGTTTATGTGTATTATAAATGCGTGGTAGCCTCGAATTATTTGGGTTTACCCCAGAAAGAAGTGACGGTAATACGGTTTTATGAGAAAGTTTTTGAATGCAGTCAAATAGACTTCTAACTTCTGAGGGCCACATCTAACCTCTGACCCGATGTAATATAATATATTTGTATTAGGAAAATACACAAAAATATATTCTCTTAATGCTAGGTCCCTTTGCAATACATTTGCAGGCATGGGGAAATGCAGACGGAGGGCCTGCTTAAGTTCACGTTCTGTAATGGATGTGCATGCATCACACGCACGACCCGAACCACCCTTCATGCTGGGTATTCAGAGATTTAGATAAGTCAACATGTGTGTGTACATAGGCTATCACACTACCACATTAGATGAATACCCCTTTTGTGAGGAACATATGCAGTAATAAAACACACAATGTGGCGCCCATTGAAAACACCTCATATAATTCACACACACATTATTAGGCTAATCCTACCTGAATTCCTGCAGCCAGTGTCCAAGTTCACTTACATGGCTAGACATTGTAGGCCTAATGAAAATTTTTGTGTAGCAAAACAAAGTAACGTTTTTAGTGTCATAAAATAAAAGCTTATTGAGGAGAATAATGTTATGGGGAGGGAAGATAACCAGAACGTTTTAGTGGTTGTTCGACTCCAAAGAAAAGAGTTGTCCTCATATCTACTCCTAGTTCTTTTTTAATATCTATAAAGTGACGGACTAGTTTGTGTCACACAGGTTTTTATGCAGGCGGAATGATACGTTTGGCGGCACTAAGGAAGTCGGGGTTTTGCTCTTGAGAGGCGGGTTGTGATTGGATTATACAGACCTGCAATATTCTGCAGTGTACAGAGGCCGCTGATTGGTCAGAGCGGATCTGCAATGCGTCAAAGCACGGCGCTGCAACAACCGGTCGGGGGGAGACACCACCGCCACCGCGCGTACAGTGAGCTCCGTGACACGAGTGGTAAAATAGGGCAGGTAAAACCGCAAGGTAGCTCACAGGTGAGTTGAGGACGGCGATGAATACGACTTTCTGTGGACATTTAACCTAACTGACGGAATCTTAAAACTGGAAATCTTGAAATGATATAATTTAAAGAATGCAACAATGCCTGACTGTATCAGCTTTTGCAGAAGCATTGTTCACATTATTAAGCTAAAACTTCACAATATGTTTAAAATAAAAAATATCTGAACTGGTCTTTCTATTCTTGGTTACAGAGTTCGATTGTCTTACCATATGACTTAATTTCAATTTTTTTTATTTTACCTCAGTATTCATTCAACGTTCCTTGGTCTCTAATGTGGAGTTGCCCTTCACAATCGCATCTAATATAAACATGTCATGAACTTTCAAAATATATTTAATTGGAAACACTCGCCCTCGGTATGTATGCACGAAAAGGTATGCATTTACAAAACAACACACCAATTAGAATAATGCATTTATGAACAGTATCTGGTACTAAAACCCATGTAACAAAGGATAATCATTAATTCACTCTTTAAACGTGTGTGCTTGCATCCGGGTGTGATTTGTCTCCTTTTCTTGCCATCCGGTGTGCCGACACAGGCATGTTGCCGGTGGAGCCAACTCGTGTTCTTGAATGAGACGTGTGTGTTCAGTCCTCCAGCAGTATATCCAGTTCTTCTAGAGGAAGTCTTAGTCGGAGCTCTTTCTCCGTCATCAGATCTACAAACTCTTGAAGATGCTCGGGGAACAGCTTCACTGCGTCCATGTACAGACCCTGATCACACACACATGTGCAGAAATGCATATTCAGATTCATACACACCCACAGAGAGAGAACACGGATTGCTCAGGAATACATTTAAAAAATGAAGTAACCAGAGGAAATATCTCTCTTCTGTCTGTAGCTCACCTTGGCCCAGGGGATATTCTGTAAGGCCTTGTAGAAGATCCCCGTGGCTTTATCCACCTTCCCTTCAGACACCTGCCAATACACACAGTGCAGACATGAGACTTTACTGGCTGTCATGTTTGTATATTCAAATATGCAAATTACCCAAACCAAGTCTGCATTGGTTGGTCTCACTGTGCGTCTAAGATAAATTAGTAAATGATTCAAGTAAACACAAAAGTCTTCACAATATCAGTAAAAATGTGAGTGTTTTTGCCGTCTTACCAGGAAGTACATGTACATCCTCCAAAGTAATGGACAGTGAGAACCCATCTCTGTTGCTATGGCGCTTTCAAACAGTCCACAGATACGGTTGCTGAGGCCATTCTCTGGCAGGAGGGGCAAGGCTGCATCATGGCAGCAAGATCTACAATGACCATGGAAAAAATTACTAGGATAATCTTTCCTTCCGTTCCCTAAATACCCAGTGAAATTAACAATACCTTTCCCCACTCTTAATCTATGGCAAATAAATATAAAAAATAAACGGCATCAACGGGTATTTTCTGCTCTGCAATAACACATGACTCATAAAGCACAGAGTTTTTTTACATAACAAATCATCCAACCCAGTGGGACTATCTAGCCCACTAGTCATATAAAACCACAGACCCCAATTTACACAACTTTCTAAAACACAGTGTATCCATGAGGAAATGCAATACCACCTGAGAGAAAGCATAGCTTATTTTAAAACATCATCCTAGTCCGATTGTGAAACAAGCATCAAATTATTTTTTCAGGAAAGGTAAATTAAATTAATTTTGACGATGTTATCAAAATATGGTTTTATAAGACGAGAAATCAAACATGCAGTTAGAAAGTTGTTTCTTTTCAAAAGACTTTGACATATAAGCCAATTAATTTTAAAATGCTGTTGGTTTGTGAGTGATCATCTGCACCATCATTTCCTGTTGGGGGGGGGGGGGGGGGTCGTTCTCTCTTTTAACGAGCAGGGGATGCCCCCCCTCCTCCGCTCCCTCCCAAAGCATGGACAGGGGAACCACTCCTCGCAGCAGCAGCCCAAATAGGTCCCGTCTCGCCCTCACCAACCCCGTCAGCAGTGCTGTTCTTGTCGTACATTGTTTGGACAAACCTCTCAGTCCCGCTGAGGTCTGCATCATCTGGGTACTCGCTGACACACGAGACACGTCAGGGGACACGTCTGTCTTTTTGCCTTCACCACAAAAGGCCGATACAACGTTGCAACCAGTGACTGTGTGAAAGAAAATGAGGCCACAGGATTTTTCTGAGCTTATGTGCTCCACGCCGTCACGAACAGGCAGACGTGAACCTGGTAGACTTAACTTGACCAAATTCAATCCACAGAAAGCTTCCCCAATTAGGTGGTACTTTTGTTTTCTTTGTCACTCTGCGTCCAACTCCTCTGCCTCGTTCTGACCTGGTTTCAGCCTTCAGAACGTAAACCAGTCAAACACAAAGTCTGTCCCGATACAGATAGCTGAATAAGCCTGTATGTTTGGAACCACACTGAGGACAGCGTATTCTTCAAATGTATTTGACCAAATGCTGATGGCTTCACATTTTGGTTTGGTTGGTAGGACAATTGACATCCCATTGTATCGAGAGCTGATATTGTTCTGCCAATTTGGATGTATAACAAATGGGTATGTAACATTTACGGCATTAAAGATGAATTTAAGAAGATGTAGAACAATTGAGAAAATGCCCGCAGGGGGTTAATAAATAGAATGTTACCTCATGTTGATCATTATAAACATTTTTACTTTGGATCCAAAAGCTTGGAACTTGGACTAGTACTTCATCCACCAGAAACTTTATCCAAAGTGTGAATTAGGAGTAATAAATGGCCATTTTCTTCTTATTATACCAGCTAGTTTGAGTTTGTATTGGCACTAGTGGATTTCTCAAACATTTTGATGTCTAGATCAGTGGTTCTACCTTTTTTTAGTGATGTACCCTAAGAAATATTCATTACCCCCTAAGCAGAGCAATGAATTTTTGGTTGAAAACATAAATCGCTGTTAATCAGAGAATAGAATGCGATTAATCGAGTTAAAGTTTTTCATCTTTTCCCAGCACTATTAAATATCAATTAATATTAGAGAAAATGACAATCGTGGCACCTTGATTTTTAAGTTGTTACAACGCTTATTCCCTCAGAATAACCCGGCAGCTGCCCGTCGTCCTTTCTGCTCTTACCTCTGAGCAGCATCCACCAGCTGCTTCCTCTGTTGTTCAGCAACAATAGCAAAGAGGCGTGGCACCACACTGCGGTTGTCCCTGGTTACAGAGTGAAAAAAGCGGCGCGCCCGGCCAGCACTGTGGTAACGGTTCTCCACCTGAAACACGATGGCCCTCGTGCATCAGTACACAAGGACTGGTTCGGTACAGAGTGAGTGCAACAGAGCGAACAGACATCTAGAGAAATGCTGTGCCAAGAATGAAAGGAGTTAAGATAACTTATGCGAGACAAGTGGCTCACCTGTATATAAATGCTCCAGAGGGGAGCGCTTGTCGGCCAGGCGGCGAGGGCAGAGGTCAGCGTTTGTCTCAGTGTCGCCAGTGGAAACACACATGCGCTGTTGTGGTACCTAAGCAACGCCGCCTGCTGCACAGCTAGTGCCTCACACTCCGAGGCCAGCCTGTTGACGTAGTGCCTCTGCGCATGGCTGGAGTCCGCAGGCCGGCCGGCATCGGGGGTGCCAAGGTTGGCTTCCTCCTTGATGCTGAGCTGCGTCAGTGTGCGGTGCAACTCGTCCGTCCTCTCCCGGGCCTGGCTGTAGACGGCGTTGGCGGCTTTGATGCCCATCGTGAGGTACTGGAAGAGAGCGTAGCAGCTTATCAGGCCTCTCAGCCTCAGCTTCCCTCCTAGCAGGTCCTCGTGACCTGTTGGTGCGACGGTGAGAGGAGAGAGATCCACGTGATGAAAGGAAACAGTCTGAGCTGGCCTGTTCAATCAGTTCAATAGAATTCAG